CTCTGCGCTCAGCCGGTGGAAGCAGAGGCCGCTGTGGCCACTCTCTAGCCCTGGGCAGGGGACGTGGGGTGTGAATGAACAGCGTATGAACCAGGTGCCCACATGCGCCCTCTGCCCGGATGTGGAGTGGAGCTTAGCTGGCCTCACAATCAGCATTAACTGTGGAGTTCAGGGTTCAACTACCCTCGAGGCCTGGGCTGAGGCCAGGTAGGTCCTGCTTGGTTTCCGGATGGGGTGCTGCTGGGTGAGGTGCTGGTCTGCACCCCAGTGCTGAGGACACCCCTCAGGAGTCACCATCTGACCATCCTGCCCTCCAACACAGCTAACTTCTGCCTCCCCCATTGCCTGATCGTGCGATGCTTCCAGAATGACAGTGACACTGCAGCCCCTTATCTGACCAGCCCTGAGTCTCAGGAACAGCCCCCACTTTACAGCAGAGGAAACAGAGGCTTGGAGAGGTCCCGTGACCTGCCTGAGTCTGCATAGCCAGTGAGTCACCCTGCCAGGGTCCATACGACTCTCCCTTCAGCCCAGTACCTCCTGGTACCCAACTGCTGCCCACAGTGGAGGGACCCAGCCAAGACATGGCCTGGCAAAACCAGGGTTCCAGCAATGGGTGGCCTGCCGGGAACATGGGACCGGGGCCTGCACGTGAGGGCTGGTGGACAAAAAGTTTTATTGGAACACAGCCATGCCCACTGTTGACAAGATACCCGTGCTGAGAACAGCAGACGAGCCCCTGGACAGAGCTGCACGGCTGGCGCAGCCTAATATGTTCACTCTTGGGCCTCGCGGAAGCCTCTGTGGGCCCTGCTGTGGGCTGCGAGGTCTGAGGGGCCCGTGGGGTGATGTCTCCCTTGGCGGGTGGGGTGCTGTAGACCTCCAGTGGGGGAATACAGGGACAGGGTTGCAGTGACTCCTGTCGTCCCGCCCGCCACCTGCAGGTGAAGGTTATGGGCTCAGTTATCAGCAGTCATTGTTTTCATTCCACAGAGCCCCCCAGGGCCGGGCTTGCATTATCTCAGGGCCTAAGTGGGCCTAGCCGTGGCCGGATCGGTTCCTACAGCTTGAGTTTACGCTCTTGTCATTATCGCAGCGAGAGGCTCGTTAAGTGACTGTTAGAGCCAGCCGTGAAATTACAGTGTCTCGCATGTGGTTGTTTCTTTACAAAGTTTTAGAATGGGTTTTATTTATTAGAGACTGTGGTTTACAGAGAGTGCAGCGAACTCCCACCCAGCTGCTCCCTACTGCCAATCCCGTGTGTTTCAGCGGGACGTGCGTTAGGCCCAGGAGTCAAGCCTAATGCCTTATCGTTAACCGATGGCCACAAGGTGCGCCGCGTCCACTCTGTCACGGGTTCTGAGCTCGGAGTGGACGGAGTTGTGTGTGCACCATTATGGCGCCATGCCCTGTCGTGCCACTGACCCGAACATCCCCTGCACCCCAGCTGCTTGTCCCTCCCTCCCCCAGCCCCAGCCCCAGCCCCGTCTTCATCCCCACCACTCACCCTCCCAGACGGCACCATCAGTCTCACACAGCACTCCGCCTTTGTTTGTTTTTGTTTGTTTGTTTGTTTTCCCGGTACTGGGAATTGAACTCACGACCTTGTGCTTGCCAGGCAGGCCCTGTGCCGCTGAGCTAAATCCCCAGCCCCGGGACTCCGCCTTTGGCTCTGCCTCTTTGCAAAATGCTCCCCGCCTTACCCTCTCCCCCAAGCTCCTCGTGGCTTGTTAGTGCATTTTGGGTGCTGAATAATATTCCCGTCTGGGTGTGCTGCATTGGCGTATCCATCACTTGCTGCAAGGTGTCTCCAGAGTCACCTTTGTCACATGAAGTCCAGCCATGGCAGGCTCTGCACCAGGTGTGGGAGACTGAGTCCCAACGGCACCTCCCCCCACGGCCTTCCCCTGTGTGGGACGACCGACAGCCAGCTGTCAGTGACTGTCAGGCCACATACACGTCAGGCACAGGTGCTTGCTGTGCGCCATCAGGGGAGGGGGCGGCCCTCAGCCTGGGGCGTCCTGGAGGTCTCCCCAAGGCAGAGGCACGGGGAAGGGAAGGAACGGAGAAGACGCATGTGCGAAGGCTGGAGCTCGAAGGGCTGCGAGTGATGAGCGGACTCGGGCAGCAGGCAGGGAAGAAGAGCTGGAGCCCCAAGCCTGCAGCTGTGGGAGAGGACATCTGAGGCTCACCTCGCTGAGGGCGCTGTGCAGAGCACGCGGGGAGGTGACCTGCTGTCAAGTCGAGGCGGACATCGCCAGTGAGCCTCGGGAGTCCGCATCTGGCTTGGTCCCTCACACGGTCCCTGTAGCCAGCATCTCGAAAACCTCTGGGAGCAGCCTTTGCCCCTGGAGCCTGGACTCCCGCTGGGGTGTGCCTTTCCCAGCCTCCCGGGGTGTCCCAGCCCTCTGTCCCCTGCCAGCACTCAGCTCCCCTGTGACAGGACAGCTCAGGGTCTGGTCCCTGCCGTGCTGAGGGACGAAGCCCCTGGGGACGCTGGCCAGGCTGGCCCAGGCTGTCGGGGGCGGCAGCTTCTGCTGTGCTGTCTGGCATTAGTCGAATCACCAAGGGTGTTTCAAACCGAGCTCTGGGTGTCCTGCATGGGTGCAGCCGTGTGGGCCCATGTGTGGCTTGTGGGGCTCAATCAGCCTCCCTCGGACTCTGCTTCCTCACCTGCACCACCCCCACCTCTAGGGGGCGTCAGAGTGGCCAAGCCCCTGAGGATACGACCGAGCCCAGCAGCAGTGGGAAGAGGAGGAAGTGGCGATGCTCTCCCTGCTGGGCACAGAGCCCGGGCCAGGGCCAGGGGCGGGGGCAGTACCTATCCCGGCCCCAGTTGCCGGATGGGGGGACATGAGGTGGCGGGCAGCCTGAGGGGCGCCCGTGCCCTGGCGGCCACTGAAAGGCTGTCCTCAGCACAGTTGCCTGTGCTGGCCGCCAGGCTGTCTGTGACCTTCAAAACCAGCTTGTTCCAGTTCCCATCCGGCCCTGGCCTTGGCTCCAGAGCGTGGTTTAGGGAGGCCACACCCAGCCCCTGCGTCCCTGGGACCCGGGACCTTGCCAGAGCCCAGCCCCTGCTCCCCTGCCACTGTGGGCCCCTCAGTGGGCCTTGCACCTGCTTGGAAGAGCCCTGGTTGCAGTGCCCACTGCCTGCCACCAGAGGGAAGCACCACCACCCAGGCCTGCAGCTGTTTGCTGATGGCTTGGTAGGTGGGCGTTTGACCTTGGTTCTAGGGTCTGCTGGGCCAGGTGCTGCGAGCTGAGGACAGGTAGGGGGATGGATGGTACAGAGAAGGACAGACAGAGCTCAGGTGCTGGAGGTTACGACACGCAGGAAACGGGGCTGAGGCCATGTCCTGGGCCAGCCTGACCCCTACTCTGCTCTGCCCCCAAGAGTCTAAAGCTGCCGTTTTGCTCATCCTGGGGCGCAGCCAGGCTCCAGTTGGATGAAAAACGTGCCTGTGTGATCGGGAGGGACGCAGCACATTGTCCTTTGTGTCCCTGTAGAGGAGAACAGGACAGTGTTGACGCGCCCTGTCCCCACCCTTGTCATCTCTGGTCGGGCTCAGATGGGACAGGATGACTCACCAGGACGTCACACTTGCAGAGCCATCTCGGCTCCCAGCCCCCCAGTGCCTGGTCTGCCCTGGCACGTGGCCCCCGCCCCTGCACGCCTCTCAGGCTCCTCCTGTTTCCAAAGGGCAGGTGTGTGTGTCTCTGCTGCTCTGAGCAGGGGCTGTGCCAGGCTCTGGGACGCTGTGCTCACACCCCGAGGGCCATGTCTCCATCCTTCATGGGGCTGCAGCTCGGAGGGACCCTGGCTGGACCCTGGGCCGCTCAGAGTGCCACCTTGTTTCCTGAGCTCTGGAACTGGGAGGCCAGGTGGACCCGGGCCTCGGGTGTCCAGGCTGAGCTGAGCTCCTTTTCATGACACAGTGCCCAGGGTGACACCCAGGGTGACACCCACAACCCCGGGCCTGGCACTGTGGAGGCGGTGGGGGCAGAACGAGTGCTGGGTGGGAACGGGCCCCTCCGTCTGGGGCACAGGTCGCTGGTTTTTACAGTGAGATGAGGACAGCCCAAGGGAGCCCAGCCTGGAGCTCCATCGACGCCGTAGCAATCACACAAGGATGTGTTGAGGCTCTGTTGGCTGTGCAGAGAAGCAGGCAGAGGATATGGCTCCACCAGCTGTGGGCCCAGATGCAGCCAGGTGGCAGTGGCCCTGCCCCATAGCCCCTCCACCCACCCAGCCCTCCTCCCGACTCAAAGCTCAGAGCTTCCTGGACTCCAGCTCTGTCACCTGCCTGTCACTGTGGCTCACCCGGCTGTCCCCACCACAGGGCTGGTGAGGGGCCCAGCATCCTGGTAATTGGCCTCTGTGGTGTTTTGGGGAGACGAGATGGGGGTGCAGGCCCTGCCTGGTCCTGGGGGCCCTGTAGCCGCCTATCCTGACCCATGGATCTGAGGCCAACTCTGGGAGGACAGCAGTGATGTTCTGACCGATGTCCCAGGACCCGGAGGGTGTGAAGCCAGCCCCCACGAGGACCATGGCTGCTGTACTCACAGACAAATGACATGCGGGTCCCCAGCCGCTGAAGAGCCACTGAGCTTGCTTGGGGAGGTAGGGAGGGGTTGCATCTGAGACCCTGGGCATCACAGTCGTGCCAAGTGGAAGCAGCAGGGCCTGGGTCCCCTTCGCCAGAGGCCACAACGGCCTTGTCACTGCAGGTGACGCAATGACAGGGGACAGGACTGCTCACTGTGGGGGGCTGCCACAGCTGGGAATCCCACTTTGCAGCTTACCAGGTGATCTTAGCGGTAGGGCCATCACCTGTCCCCTGGCTCCAGGCAGAAGAGGCAAGTGTACCTCCTGGTGTCCTGGGGACCAGTGGTAGTTGGGGGCTGGAGCTCCCTGGTCAGGTCCCGTGTCCTAGCGCCCTCGCTGGCTGGCTCACTGTCCCCGGACACTCCTGTCTGTGACGTGCCTTCTCTCTCCGCAGTGTCCCAGCCCCAGGCGGCTCACAGCCCCCCGGAGAAGCCGCCCAGCACGGCCATCCTGTGCAACACCTGTGGAAACGTGTGCAAGGGGGAGGTGCTGCGTGTGCAGAACAAGTACTTCCACATCAAGTGCTTCATCTGCAAAGGTGAGCGCACCTCGTCCCCGCCCCGGCCGCGGCCATGCCCACAGCCTCCCGCCTGCGGCGTCCCCAAGCTCTGCAGAGCGCTGGGCGGGTGGAGAGCTCGCAGGCGGACCTTCCAGTCCGCAGTGGGAGCTTTTCAGGGTCCTCCATGTCACCTGAGGGGAAAGGAGGCTGCGGGGTGGACAGGTGAGGGTGGGCGTGGGTCCCCACGGGTGTCATCCATGGGTCAGGGGTCCCTGTTGGCTGCATGAACGCCACAGTGCTGGACCCACGGCCCTTGCTGGGCCAGACACCAGCCCCACACGATGGCACACAGACCATCCCTGTCCATTCCTGGTGAAAATCACTCTTTCTCCCTTTATAAAAAATAACATTTAATGTACTAGATTGAAATAATACCAAGAAGACGGGGAAAATTTAAACAAGAAGCGTGTCGCGTCCCTGCCTCGGAGGTGGCCCTGCCTCGGGCCGCCTTCCTTGCTCTGCTCCGTGTGGCAGGTAGGGAGTTGGGGGTTTGTCAGATGCTGCTGCCTGGTCCTGTGCGGGGATCCCAGGCTGCGGCCCTGTGCTCCGTGAGGCACCCCAGGAGGCAGGGACACGGGAGCTGCAGCTCTGATGGCCCCATGGCCTTATGCCGTAAGTGTGGTGGGGTTGCACAAGACACACACAGAGTTTTTATAGCAGAAGCTCTGCCGGGGGCCAGGCTGTGCGGAGGTTGCAGAGGGGCGGTGTTTGGCTGTGACTGGAATGTAGCCGGACTCTGCCATCCTGGGTCCTCTCTGGCAGCAGCCCTGTGAAGGACCATAACTGTCCATGTCAGCAGGGACACCTCTAGTGGCCTGGAGATGGTAGGGGTCAATCCCAGGCCACTCTGTGCCTCTGAACCAAGTCCCAGGGAGAAGCCGCGGGCCTCTCTGGAGCGGGAGAGGAGGGGAAGGGCAGCAGGTGGAGCTGGGGACTCCCGGGACTCAGCTGGCTCCAGGAGCCCCGCCCCATCCTCAGCCCCGCCCGCAGGAAACCCCGCCCATCGCCTCAGGGCGCAGGCTGGGGACCTGGAGGTCCTGCTGTGTGAACAGAAAGCTGAAAGCCCCGGCCTAGGCTCTTCTGCGGAAGGGGCACCCTAGAAGTCCCTGGTGCTGCTGCCCAAAGAGGTCAGCGTGCATGGGGAGGCGCGGCAGGTGATTTAGGGATGGGTGATCTAGGGGCGGCTGTCTTATAGGCGACCCCCAGCCAGCCGGCTCTCCGGACTGATGCTGGGGTCCCAAGGCAGGAGCCCCGCTGCCTCAGGCCAAAGCTAAACCAACCCCATCTGTGAAAGACAGGGACACCGCGGGGCCGCCTGAAGCCCCAGAAACACCAGGAACCAGGGGTCCCCTGTGCACCCACAGACACCGCAGCCCCGGAGCCCGCCAGCACCCCACTGCCCTCCCCAAAGCACCCAGAGCCCGGGGTCAGCGACAGGACACGCCCAGGACATGGGGTGGGGGCTGTCTGAAAGGAGGAAGGTGTGGTGACCCCCGGCCGGCAGGGCTGCAGGGGCGGGCAGGGCTGCAGGGGCGGGCAGGCCTGCAGGGGCGGGCAGGCTGGGCTGTGGAGGAGGGAGGGCTGGTCCCCGCATCCCCTGTGACGCATGCGCACTGCCGGGGCTCCAGAGGGGAGGGGCGCACTGGTCTTGGCGCCCTGTCCCCTGCCTTCCCCGGGCATCTCCCCGAAGCTTTCCAGGCCCCTCGGGGCTGTCTGGCTTCATTGCTCAGCGCCCTGTGAAGATCCCCACCCCCCACCCCCCGCTCCAGCTCCGATGCACACGGCTCTGGAAGGGCTGCAATAGGCTGCTCTTCACAAAGCTGGGGTTAGGGTTAGGGTTAGGGTTAGGGTTAGGGTTAGGGTTATGGTTGGAGGGTTAGGGTTAGGATAGGTGTTAAGAATTTAGGGGGTTAGGGTAGGGTTTAGGGTTAGGGATAGAGGTTAAGGGTTAGGTGTTTGGGTTAGGGTTAGGGTTAGAGGATTTGGGTTAGGGTTAGCGTAGCGGTTAGGGGATTAGGGTTGGGTTTAGTGTTAGGGGTTAGGTGTTAGGGTTAGGGTTATGGTATGGTCATGGTTTGTTTTAGGTTTTGAGGCTCTTGTTAGCATTAGGGTTAAGGTTGTTGCTAAATAGCACAAAGAAGGGACCAGAGACCCATATGCCGTCTCACCTGGTGTGACCTGCTGAGGCTGGTGGTATGAGCGAACGGTGGCTCCTTCCCACCAGCCCCAGCTGACCTGTTGAGATTGCAGTGGTGTCACTACCTGGTGCCTGTGAGCACATCTGTCCATGGCACTGCCCAGCGTAGGCGAGTCGCAGGGGGGTATGTGTGGCAGGAGTCTGGGCAACAGACCTGGTACCAGGCTCCCACTCACCCCTTCACATAGCCAGACTCATCCATTCAACAGATGCATGTTGGCCCTGGGCACCCAGCAGGGCTATGCCTCGGTCAGCTGCCACCTTACTCTAGGGCTGGCCAATTTAACATTGGAACAGGGTCACCAAAGTCAGCTTCTCTCTCCAGTTCCCCATGCCCAGCTGTCCTGTCTCCCAGATCTCACTCTGTGCCTGTCATCAGTACCTCTCCTCATCGTCTCAAGCCGGCTGCTGTAGCTCTAACATCATTCTCTCATGGCCTGGTGTGCAATCTAGGAAGGGATTGAGAGGAGATCTGTACAGGCAGAGCACTTATCCTTTCTCGGAAGTTTCCCTATATGGCTATATGGGCAATGGGCTGGGGTAGAAGAGGAGAGGAACAAGATAAGGCAGGGTTGGAAGTATGTGTGTGGGTCATTGTAGGCTTCATGAAGGAGGTGACCTCTGAAGCCCAGGTGGCATTCTACCCAGAGGACAGCCAGTGCAAAGGCCCGAGGCAGGGTGGGCTTCGGGAGCAGCAGCAGGCCTGTGTGGCTGGCATAAAACGGGTGGGGGGGATGGAGAGAGCAGGGCTGGTGGCACTGGCGCCTCCAGTGAGGCCCTTGGCTTTGACATTCGAGAGAGCGCAGACGAGGCCCTGGTGGGCATCAGGGCAGGGGGCAGGGAGGAGCATCCACAGCAGGTGCAAGGCCAGGCTGGAGCTGAGGGTGCCCAGACAGAGATAAGAGGGTGCCTGGCTCTGAGTAGATATGGGTGGCCAGCTGGCTCCATCTTCACGAACTGCGACAGGTAGATATAGGGTGCATGGCAGCCATTCAAGGGGCAGTCGACATATACCGTCTTTACATTTTAAAAGTTTTCTACAGAACACTGTCATCCATCCCCTCACCGTGGGCACACTCATCCCATGGGTCTCGACACTTTCTGCAGCAGCTCTGGGGTCCTCTTTCCTGAGGGTCCTTACCAGGTATGATAAGAAAGCACAGTAAGTGTTGGTGCCCACTGCGATGCCACAGAAAGGCAGTGTGTAAAACACGGCACTGGGTCCTCATCCCCGCTGCACACCAGATCTGGCACTGTGTGACTTCTGGCTCTTCCCCTGTGTCAAAATGACCATGAAAAGGCACGTGAATCCATTCAGGACATCGAGGCAACAACACAGTTTAGACACCCATGAAAGAGGACTCCAGAGCTGCTGTAGAAAGTGGCAGGAAGGATGGGATGAGTGTGTTCACATTGAGGGGGGGATTTTTGAGGGGGATTCATGTCCATGTGTCTTTTCCCGTAATAATGTTTTTACTTTTTACTTTTTAAATAATTTTTAAAAATTAAATATTCACCTATAATTTTCGTTCATACCTCATACAGCATAGAGGAGGGCCTTTGAAAAATGAAAGCTGTCCCCATTCTTCAAACAACTTGCCCTTTGCCCAGCCACGCCGCAGGCTCTCCTGACCATCCTGGGCCAGGCCCTGCACGCCCGGCTGTGCCTGCTCGGCCGTGATCTGCGGGGCCTTTCTCTCCGGCCCCGCGGAGTGCTGCCGCGGTGGGGAGATGAAGCCACACAAACGGGACCTCCAGACAAAGCAGGTGTTTCCTGATCCCTGTGCAGAAGAACTTAGTCCAGGGTTTTGGAAAGAGCCAAACAACTCGGCGGGGAGGGAAGGGTGTGTGCCCAGGGAGAGCCCGGGAGGTGTGTGTAGCTTGGTAACAGTGAGGTCACCCTGGGGACGCGTCCATCTGGGAGTATAAATAACACCAGTGTGCTGGGCCCTGGGGGGGCGTGGCCTGGTGCTAAAGGCCTGCACCCTGCCCTGGAGGTCTTGGCGGTGTGGTGGGTGGGTGTAGAAACCACCCAGGGCCTCTGAGTGCCACACAGCTCTGACGGGTGCGCTGGCCCTGGCCTTGGGCACACGTGGGCACGTGGGGGTGGCGGGTCAGAGGCAGAGTTGTGGTCATCGTCACCCCAGGGAGAGTTCCCCGGAGAGCAGGCTGCTTTGCTCTGTCCTCCCGCTGCTCCCCGGCCTGCAGCTTCTACCCCACACTTTGGGGTGTGTCTTTTCTGATAGTGGAAGCCACACTGCACACATGGTTTTGTCCCTGACTTGCTCACTTCTAAGTACCGTGCAGCCTTTCTTTCCCTCCCTCCCTCTTTTCCTTCCTTCCCTCCTTCCTTGTCTTCTTTTACCACACCCAGGGCCTTCACACTACACTCCTTCTCCAGCCCTTTCTAAATTTTTTTTTTGAGACAGTTTTATTTTGAGACATTTTTGCTAAATTGCCCAGGCCAGGCTTGAACTATCAATCTCCTGCCTCAGCTTCCCAGAGTGCTGGGATTACAGGTCTGTGCCACCACACCTTGTCTTTCTTCAATGTATCAATTCCTCAGCATCCATTTCACTATTGGCCCAAATGCCCTCAGATCTGTGGCCCACAGAGAGCTGAGCTGCTCCCCACTCGGGGTCGCCTACGTTGTTTCAGCCAGTCCCTGGGCTGCTCAGCCTTGGTACCCTGTTGCAGTGACTTCGTCTGATAATCTACTGTACAGAATTGGTACTCTTAGCTCTGCAGAGGAGGACTCGGGTTTGGGGAGGTTAAGGAAGTGCCCCAGGGTCAACAGCAGGAAGGGAGGAGAGAAAGGGTGGGAACCGGGACTTCCCAACCCGGAAGCTGGCGTGGCGGAGCTGCAGGGAGCACGGCTGACCTGAGCCTCTGTGGGGATTCCTGGGTCAGAGCGCAGGGCGGATTTTCCATTCTTCAGCCCAGGTGACACAGGACGTGGCAGGAGTCGCCCGTCCCGCCAGGCCACCCCCTCCTGGCCGCTTCTGGTAAGGGCCACAGTGTGAGCCCTGAGTCAGCGCACCCCGCCCGCCCTGGCTTCCCTGGATTTGCTATATGGCAAATGGAATATGATAGTATGTGGTATCCTGATAAGGATTTCTAGAATTACAGTGAATTTGGGCTTTTATTTTTGGTAGGCAGAGATCTGGGCTGCCTCAACAAAGTGACCTTGGTGTCCACGACAGCCAGGTCCTAACCATGGCTGAGATGGCCAGAGGGGCTCGTGGGGTGGGGCCACAGCTGGACGCAGGGGGTCACCTCCATGCTGCTGCGGGGTGGCAGGGGCCACCGCACTTCACCCTCCTTCCAGGGTCAGGCAAGCTCCTGCCGCTCTGCAAGAGACTCCCACAGCTTGTTGGGCTCCGGCCCTCGGCCCTGCCCCGTGAGTGCACTGGCTGGGTCTACGGGGCTCCGTGGCCAAGTCCTGGGTCTCACCTTGTCACCGGAGTGACAACAGCTCCCTGCAGAAGGGGACAGCTGGGCTCTGCAACCAGGACTCCAGCTGCCACCCTGGCTTGTCCCCAAGAGCCGGGTCACAGGTTTCAGCAGTGGTCTCACTTTGGCACGGACGTGTCACCAGTGTATGTGAAAGGTGACCTCACGGTTCTGTTCAGAGATACCGTGTATGGCACACCAGAGATGGCAGTGTTGTCATGGAAACATCTAGGTGTCACTTTAAAACTTTAACGCTATGTGGTTTTTCAGAACTGAGCTCTGGGGAGGTCACTGAGCTGTGTCAGCCCTGAGGGCGGAGATGGTCAGGCTGGGGACAGGCAGGGGCCTCCTATGTGACCTCAGCAACATGGTCAGGGTGCACTCAGCCTGTTCCCTCAGAAACCCTGCATGGCTCCCGAGTAGCCTGGGCTGGAGGGGTTGTGGCAGGGACACGGGAGCACTGAGCTATGGCGATGGGCAGACATGTCCAAGAGTGGCACGTCACTCCCACCTGCCAGTTCCCCCTGCCGGGCTCTGTAGCTGCCACTTCCCAGAGCTGGTGCTGGTGGAGGGAGACAGAAGGCCTGGCCTTGTCACCATGGGCCAGGGGACACAGAGGAGTGGGGAGGGGCTGGGACCGGCCACAGGACCCCTCCGCCTCCCAGGTCTCCAGCCTGGGCACACAACTGGTGCCTCATAGGTGCTCAGGGATTAACCCGCCCTCTGTGGCCTGTCCTAGAATTGCCTACCTGGCATGTGGGGGCAGGACCTCACGGCTGGTGGGTCAAGGGTGAAGGTGGAGGTTGGACTGGCCCTCAGGACAGTCCTGTCCTCACCCTGAACCACTGTCCCTTTCCCAGCTTTCTGGAGAAAAGTCCACTCCACCCGGGCCAGAGGCTGGCGCTGGTGTCTGTCCCTGAGCTCGGCCCCCAGGCGTGCGGGCCACCGGCTCTGTACCCAGGCTGCATCAGGCGGGGGTCCGGGTGGGGTGCACCCAGGCCCTGGGGACAAGGAGCCGCCACCACATGCTTCTCACGCGTGTCCTGTGTCCTCAACGCAGCGTGTGGCTGTGACCTGGCGGAGGGCGGCTTCTTCGTGCGGCAGGGCGAGTACATCTGCACCCAGGACTACCAGCGGCTCTACGGCACGCGCTGCTGCAGCTGCGAGCAGCTCATCGAGGGCGAGGTGGTGTCGGCGCTGGGCAAGACCTACCACCCTGCCTGCTTCGTGTGCGCCGTCTGCCGGTGAGTGTGCCCCCGCCCTCCTGCTCTCGGGCCCCAGCCAGCCCCCACTGTCCCCTGGACAGCACCCCTGCTCGGCCTCGCCCTTGACTCCTCCCTTCGCTCCTGGCACTCCCACCCCCCACGTCCATGCACAGCCCCTCCATGCCCACCCACGGCGGCTGCTCTGCCCCTCACAGCCCTCTGCACGCCCTCACCAGTCCCCGTGGCCTCGATCTGCAGGTGACACTTGCACCCCACCCCTTGTCCAAATCCACCAGCTGCCGCCCTGGCTCAGGCCCCAGCTCTCCCGCAGCCTCCACGCTGTGCAGCCCCCTCTGCCCAACGGACCTCTCCGCCGCGGCCCCGAGAGAATGGCCAAGCCCCTCAGCCTTGCCCAGAGGAGCGTCCAGCCTGCTTCATTCATTCATTCATGCACGCCTGCATCCACTCACACGTTCACTCATTCTGTGCCTTTTCGTACCGGGCCAGGACTGGGTCCGGTGGGCTACCTGGCCCAAGCTCTTGTGCAGAGGGACCCGGGGAGGCTTCCCACGCAGGGGAGCCCTCTTCTCCTTCCTCACCACCTTAGCGCTGCCACAGCAGGCACTGTCCAGCCCTGAGGGTGTGGCTACATCTCAGACAGCTCTGGGAGGACAGGGCTGGCCCAGCCCCTCTCTGGTCCCTGTGTGTGGCACAGAGCAGGGGTGATTACCGTCTAGACACTAGTCCCCTGAGCTCTGTGCCGAAGCACACCACTTGCCTCTCCCCTCGTCTCCGCCGAGCAGGGAGCTCTTGGGCAGCCTCCCCGGGCCCCTCACCCCGCCACAGCAGGTCCTCCAGGGGCCAGTGTTCCACTTCCAGAAAACAACACAGAATAAACACAGAGTTTATTCTCTGCTCTTCGCTCCCTGCCCCACCATGCCCAGTTTAAGAGGGTGTGCTCTGTGTTGCTCTGAAGTGGCTGTCTGGTTACAGTGTGTGCTTGAGACAGAAGCAGCCTCTGTCAAATGCCAAGGGAAGGAGGCTGCGGCAGCAAGGGTATGCCTGATGAGAGAGTCCAAGGGTGTCATTACTGTGCAGCTCAGGTCAGAGGTCCCCAGGGATGGTCTGATGTTTGATTTCTGTGTACGCAGCTTAGCAACAAGGCTGACATAATCATAGTTGGTCTGAAAGATGACCTCCAGATGATCTGCTATTTAAAAATAATAGCTGACGGTTCTGGCCATATTGGAGTGATCAGGACTAAACTGGACCACAGTGACCCAGCACAGACAACCAGAAGGCTGGACAAAGTGTGAGAACTGGCTGTTTGCAGCCAGCTGGAGAAGAGGACACTGCCGTGGGGTCACCTGCTTCCCACAGGGAGGGTCCTGAAGGCTGGTGCAGAGGGGACTGAGCAAAGTGTGGGCACCCTGAGTCAGGACCAGGTGGAAGGTGACAGCAGTGGGCATGTGGGGCAGAGGGGAAAGAGCAACAGAGTGAGACCTCCAGAGGTGAGTGGAGGGTGCCTTCGAGTCTGGACCAGACACAAAGCTGTGAATCCCCTAAGGGAGTATGACAGGTGGGGCAAAGAGTGGCCAGGCTGCTGAGGGCACACAGGTCCCAGGGAAGCATCTGTGCTCTAAGCAGAAGCCTCCGTCTCTGTTGAACCCCCAGGACGTGCAGTAGGGACACCCCAAGGACTGTTCCTTCTTATTAAATGGACTAGAATAGCCCTGGAGTGAAGGCTGCCATAAACACATCTACTAAAAACAGCCCACCTACCAAAGATCATGTTGATCTACCAGAGACCAACTGCTACCAGAACAGAGACCAACGCCCCACAAGGGAAGGTAGGAAAATCTGGCACCTAACAATATAAGATGCGCAATGTATACTAAAAAAACTGCTGGTCATAAGAAACTAGCAAATAAGACTCCAAACCAGAAGAAAAGCCAGCCAGTGTCACTACGCCCAGAAAGGACAGTGGTGGCGAAGTGAACAGACACTGATTCAAAGTAGCTACTGTAGCCAGGCATAATGGTGTATGCCTATAATTCCAGCACTCAGGAGGCTGAGATAGGAGGATCACTATGAGTTCAAGGCCAGCCTGGGCTACAAAGTGAGTTCAGGGCCAGCCTGAACTGCATAGTGAAACTGTTTCAATAAAAAAATAAAATAAAATAAAAGCTACTGTACATATGTTTCAACCCCTGAACATCACAGGAGAGTTATTAAAGGTAGAAAATAGAAACCAATGGGAAATCCAGACATGAATACTGCATTTCCTGAAATGAAAACAGAGTTAGCAATAGATTAGGGATTACAGAAGAAAAGATGGATAAAGTTGAAAACACAGCAAACGAAACCCTTGAAATTGGTGCAGAGAGAGGGAAAAAGACTGGTGCACATGAAAAGAGCTCTGCTGAGCTGTGGGTGCAGATTGCACCATCTCTCTGTCCGCCTGTCTGCTTGTCTGGGTGCCTAGGACAGACCAAAGAATGCTCGCAGAAATCATGGGTGGAAAATGTCCAAATCTGATGACAGCTGTATACCCGTGAGTCCAAGAGTCTCAGTGAACCTCAAATAGAATAAACTCATGAGAAACCCACCACATGCATCTCAGTCAAGTAGCGGATCAGCAGTGATGGAAAGAAATCTTAAGCTCTGAGAAGAAAGCCCACCCACGGTCTGCAGAGAATCGGAGAGATACAGGCTTCATCAAAGCTGTGGATGCTGGCAGACAACAGCACATCTTTAAAGAGGGGCAACCCAGGGCTGACCTCCGCCCAGCCTTTTCACAGACTTAAGCTCGGTGATCCTGGCTCGGGCATCTGCGCCCCCTGAGATCCCACACCAGGGGGCGTCAGGCCTGCTCAGGCCTTGGAGGGCTGTGTCATTGGGTTCGGGGTGGCGCTCCTGGGAGAGGAGGGCTGATGGTGGGGCTGCCGTGACCAGCTCTCTCCTTGCAGGCTGCCCTTCCCACCCGGGGACCGAGTGACCTTCAACGGGAAGGAATGCGTGTGCCAGAAGTGCTCCCTGCCCACGACAGCAGGCGGTGGCACCCATGGGCCGCAGGGCCTGCGGAGTAAGTGGGCACTGGGCGGCCAGACGGGGTGGACACGAGGGACAGGGGTGGTCATGACCACGTGGGACCAGGACAGGCACGGTCACAGCTATAGTGTGGATGCCCACAGGGAAGGGACAGAGGCAGCCGTCCCCAGGGCTACCATGCCACCAAGCCTGTGCCCAGGCTGTGCCCCCACCCTGTGCCCTGTCTGCTTAGGGCTGACCCCTCCTCCAGGAAGCCTTCTTTGCCTCCCTCTGGTCCTCTCTCGCCTAAGTCACACACAGCTTTCCCTCACCCATTAGTTCCAGCTCGTCAGAAGTGCGCTGGGGACCCCTGTGGAGCCCTGGACTCGGTCTCCCTGGGCAGGCAGGGCTCTCACGTTCGCAGCTCTAGCCCTGGGAGCTACTGCATGCAGTAGGCACCCAGTGCGTGCTTGGGAAGCGGGAGGTGGTCACTGTGAAAGAGCAGCTGCTGGGTGCCATGGTTACAGATGGGCAGAGCGATGGCCACCAGGAGCAGCCAGGTGACGTCCCCAGCCTGGGGCTCTTCTGGGGCAGGGATGCAGTGCCAGGGCTGGGAGGGGCACCTGCACATCAGGACCTGCTGCTGCCCGGTGCCCTTTTCAGAGCCAGCCCGTGCACGTGGCCACTGTGCCATCCCCGGGGCAGAGCCACAGGCCTAGGGACGGAGGACAGGGAGGGTTTGTGCGACTCGCTTCATCATCTCCGGCGGGCTCCATCACCTTTGCTCCGAGCCGCTCGCCCTCTTTCTTCCCAGCTGGGCGGCGTCTCTGTGAGGGTCCCGCACCGGCCCCCAGCTCTGTGCTGGCCTCAGGCTGCTGTCATTGTCACTTCACTCTGTGGATGAAGCCAGGCCGCGCCATAGGGCAGCAAGCTGGCAGTGGTGCCAGGGGCAGCTTGTGACCTTGGGGTTTGCTGGGACAGTGCAGCCCTGGGGTGGTGCTGGGGTCCCTGCTCTTCCGGAGATGCCCGAGGGGCACTGTGTTCTTTCCCTGGCATGGGTCGGTCCAGCTGGATGGCTGAGGGACCCCAAGCCTGGGACATGAGCCTGCCCAGCTATGGGGTCATAGGGAGGCAGCCCAGGACCCTCCCAGGCCGTTTCACCTGCTCCACAGCTGCTCACAGGGTACTGTCCTGCCCCCCCCTGTGGCTCCCTGGGGATGCTGAGCTGAGCCCCGCCCTCTCAGTCCTTACCTAACGTCAGGACCCAGTTGGTCCCCATTACCGAAGGTGGGCATCAGGTCCCGCTGAGAACCGAGCCCTGGCTCTGCTGACTCCACGGTGGAGGGTGGGTCTGGCCCCGCCGAGGCTGCCAGTCTGCCTTATCCCTCGGAGATGGCCCGCAGGTCTGAGCCTGAACCTGTGGCCACATCTGGGAACAGGCTGGTTGGTCCTACAAGGGTTGCGAGAGGTGCACGGCAGGTGGACAGCCGGCCCTGGACACGTGGTGCCCATGTGGTGGGCCGCACTTGTCACACGCGGCTGTGTCCCTGCTTGGCAGTGCCCCGCAAGGCCACGCTGAGCTCCTCGGGTGCTCAAGTGGGGGCTGCAGTTTCCATGACAACGTGGCCCTGCCTCCCACTCCCTGCTCACTGTTAGTGACGCTTCCACCTCACGTCACAGGGGAGGGGGCCGGGAGCGGGTCCACGCCACAGTCAGGCCCAGGCAGGGAAAGTGAGATCCAGCCCCTTGGGGGCATGTGGGGCGGACACAGTGCTAATGCAGGAGGGTGGCAGAGACGGCGCCTCCTCACGCCAGCATGGCAGGTGGGTCCAGCCGGATCAGTAAGTAGGTACTACCACACACATGCACGGAGTCATTCATCAAACACACCCCTCCCAGCAGGCACCTGAGCCTGGACTCACTCTCTGGGGGGCTGATCCTATGATTGTCCCTAACATGTGTCCCATTACTGGGGCACAGAGAGGTGAGGTCACTTGGCCCTGGTCACACAGCCAGTGGGGCAATCCAAGGCATCTCCAGACATTGTCAAAGTTCCCTGGGAACAAGCAGCCCCAGCTAATAGCTTAGGAATATGGTGTCACCCTCCGCTGCAGGGAAGGAGGGGGCGGGTGACCCTGTGACTCTGAGGGCATCTCCATTCTCCCCCTAGCTCACTCCTCCCCCACGGGTCTCTTGGGCCCTGACCGCCCTCGTACCCGACTCCCGTGCCCCCTTCCCTCAGGGCCTGGACCCTGGGGTTCAAGTCTGTTCCCTTCCTCTCCAGAGCTGCATAGGGATCTGAACACTGTAATAATTTAGGTGACTCAGCCTGGTCAGCAGTTTTGTGGGTGCTTTTTTTTATTCTTAAAATTGGTGGCTGAGATGTCTGCCAAGGAGCTCAATAAAGCCCTGCTTTGTGTGGCATCTTTCAAGCTCCCTCTCCCTCCAGGCCTGTGCTGTATGTCCCTAGTGAGTGAGGGTGTGACCGCTGAAGTGATCGCCTCACACACACTCTCCCACACTTGTGCTCACACCAGACACTCATACAAGCACACCTGCAGAAACACACACGCAGACACAAGGAGGTGCATACATGCTTGGACACACATAGAGGCACACGTTCACACAGCCTCGCCTGTGCGCACACAGACACAGGTGCACACGCGGACACGCACACCGTTGGCCTCTGTGTCTGCAGGCGCCACATCTGTGGATTCAAATCACCTCCGGTCAGAAATACGCGAGCACCGTTGTGTGTGTGCTGACGTGTAAGGCTTCCCTCATCACTATTTCCTGCACGGTGCAGCACTTACACAGCCCGCGCCTGTGTTGGTGCCGAAGGTAACCCAGGGGTGATTTGGGCACCCGGGAGCGTGTATCTGCAAAGGGTATCTGCAAACACAGCACCTGGCACAGAAGGATGTAGCATGTGTGGATTTGGGGATCCTTGGGGATTGCTGGAATGAAACCCCTGTGCATCCTGAGGGTCGACCGTGCTCATGCACAGCCATGCACACACTCATGGCACACACACATGCACGCTTGCACACAGACGTGCATGCACATGCAGTCACAGAAGTTCACACACAGCCCTGCATGCCCATGCAGCCCACGCCCAGGTCCCCGCCCAGCCCCCCTTGCGAGGCTCCCACTCATCCCTCTCTGGGTGACAGTGAGTGGCAGGTTCACAGGGTGGAGGGGCCGTGAGCGGCTGGCTCAGCAGAGCAGGGCCGGGGTGCCGAGGTCCCAGGTCCCCAGGGGGCTGGGCAGGGCAGGCAGCAGGCAGCCCTGAGAGTGGAAAGAGGGCACAGGGAGGTGCTCAGGAGCCCAGGGCTGCGCTGGCCACAGGATGCAGAGTGGTGGTCACCAAGGGGAAGGTCAGGAGATAAGGCAGGGCGGCTGCCGGGGCTGCTCCCCCAGGCCAAGCCCTGTGCCGTGTCCCAGCCACCTGCGTGCCGGAGAGGCTCCCATCTTTGGAAGGCAAAGCCCCCTCAGCAGCTCCCAGCTCCCAGCTCAGGCACACGCAGTCAGTGCTCCGTACACACAGGGACCGATGTCACCGTGACTTTTCTGTGTGCTCCACCCGCTGCCCTGTGATGGATTCCCTCTGTGCCCAGCCCGGGACCACTCTGGCGGTTCTGTGGGGTCTGAGAACAGCAGCAGGGTGTGGGTGAGGGCTCGCCTGCTCGGGGCACCCCGAGGCCCCTGGTGGTCCTTGGCTTGCGGTGCCCTGTGTGAGGGGTCTGCGCTCTGCTCCTCCCTGCAGGCTGTGGGGGCTGTGGCTTGGAAATCAAGAACGGGCAGGCGCTGGTGGCACTGGACAAGCACTGGCACGTGGGCTGCTTCAAGTGCGAGACCTGCGGGAAGCAGCTGAACGCCGAGTACATCAGCAAGTGAGTGCGGCCGTGGGGCGGGATGTCACCCGCGCTCCCGCGCTCCACAGGGCGGGGACCCGGACGCCGCCCCACGTGTCCCCAGCCCTGTGGCACGGCCTGCATCTTCCTCTCCACTCAGTCTGCTCTTCCTCAAGCGATGTGCAGAGGTTTCCAGTCCCTTCCCGTTGACCAGGGCTGGGCTCCCCTCTGAGTCTGTCCCCGGGCATCACCGTCCACCCTCCTGGCACCTGGACCTTCCTGGTGCCAGCGTCCTGCAGAGTGAAGTGACGTCAGCAGGTGCCAGCTGGGGTCCTGGGAAGGAGGCTGGCGCTGGTCATCTGAGGTGCTGGGGGGACGAACTGTGGCCTTGAGTGAGGCCAAGTGCTCTTGGCCAGGAGCCAGGGTGCGTTTTAATGCTGGGGTGAGGACTGCGGCAGGCAGCCCCACAGATGGGGGCGAGGCGGTGGACCAACTTCAACGTGTAGCCCCTCTGGGTGCGCGTTGGCGCCTGCTGGGTTCAGGCCCCACCAGCGGCCCAAGCTGAAGACAGGCACTTCTGGGTACCCTGAAGAGGGGGAGCTGGCGCAGGGGAGTGGGGAGAGACCCTGTGACGCAAGTTTGTGGAATAAAATGTGTGCCTGCCCACACGTGCATGCACACACACAGCATGGAATGAAACACGCGTACACGCATGCGCAGGCTTGCACACCGGGCCATGTTCAGGACATCCAGGTACAGGATGTACCCACATTCGTCTCCTGCTTGTCCCTGCTCTCTGACTCCTCAGACACCTGGGGGGGCTGGCGGGAGGACACGTGACATCTGTCTGTCACTCTCCAAGGGTACTAGACCCCACAGTGGTCCCAGTGAAACATTTTAAGGTGAAGTCCCCATCCCAAGATGCACTGGCACCCAGCCTGGGTAGGACTGCAGGAAGCCCGAGGTCCTGGGAGGGATCAGGCGGATGCAGGCCGCGGTGTGGAGTGCTTTGAGGGGTGAGAGCGCCCAGCCCCCAGCAGGCTGCTGCCCCACACACAGCAGTGGCTCCCCCACACCGTGTTACCGAGCAGCCTCCCGAGCAGCCCCAGAGTTGAGGGGGAGGGTGCGTTGGGGTTGCCATGGAGATGTGAGCACTGAGGTGTGTTGCAGGCACACCCATCCGTGGGATGCGCCCAGGACCTGCAGCAGAAGGTGGGTCCTAAGGACTGCTTTGCGTCCCCTCGTGGAGGAAGGGCTGTGTGTTCCCCGCCCTCTCTCTGGGATTTGAGGCGTGGAGGGGCAGCCGCAGAGGGCGGGCAGCTCCGGGCTGTGACCCAGCCAGGGCGCAGCCCCTCCTAGCGCCTGTGGGCCACAGCGCAGGGCAGGAGGGCAGCGCTTCATGCAGCCTGACCCTCGGCTGCCCTGCAGTCCTCCCTTCTGCCCTGGGCGAGTGACCTCGGGACCTGGCCTGGAAGGACACTGACTTAGCCTCCTCCCCGGGCTCCTCCACACCTGCTCACGGGGAGCCGTGGCCTGTGGTTGAGGGGGTGACGGTGGCCTTGGCCACCCTTGCGGAAGTGCCACAGCTCTCATGTGGCCCTTGCTGTTCTTCTCCATGTTACTGGTGGGGAAGCTGAGCTGCACCAGACAGGTTAAGCAACTTGCCAAGGTTACACAGCCAGGACGTTTCTAAACTGGTGCTGAACTCTTGGTGGAAGGAAGTGGCAAGGACAGGGAGGCCTGGAGACTTGTTTCACATCTCAGATGCGGCTTCTGTTCCCTCACCCCAGCCCTCATCGCCCTGTGGCAGGTGGCCTGGCCTCTCTCTGCCTCAGTTTCCCCATCTGTGCAGCAGGATGGTCTGGTGATGGTTCCCTCAGGGCTGGCCCTGTGAGCACCCGGGGCCCCCACGTGGACAGCAGCCCTCTGGGGCTCAGTCCTTGCATGACCACGCCCCGTCCTGACCGCCCGTCTCCTTGCAGGGATGGGCTGCCCTACTGCGAGGCCGATTACCACGCCAAGTTCGGCATCCGCTGCAACGGCTGTGAGAAGTTCATCACGGGGCGCGTGCTGGAGGTGAGCGGGGCCGGGCCTGGGCTGCCAGCCCTCTGGGTGCGGAGGCCCTCGCTGTCCCCAGGTTCACTGTGAGGTTGGGCCTTCCTCTGCGTGTCCCTCGAGGTGGTCTGCCAAGCCCTGCCGCCCTTCCTCCCAGCTCTGTGCAGGGCATGGCAGGCGCCTCCTTCTCCCAGAAGCCTTCAGGGCCCATTCTGTGTTCAGGGTTGGAGTCGGCCATGGGTGGGCCCTGGAGCTGGGCTGGTCCTGCCTCTGCTGTCTAGCCTGGGACTCAGGGATGTAGGGTTGGAACTGAGGCCCGGGGAGGGGGCTGTGGAGTCCCCAGTGGAGGCAGAGAGCTGTCACCTGGCAGATGACCGAGCACTGGTTATTGGGTGGGAAGCTTCGGGCACTGGCAGTGGTGGTCCTGGCTGTGGGTGGCAGGGACATGGGCATGCTCTGGGTGACAGTCACACGTAGGACGCACACTTCCGTGTGGCTGCCCCAGCTGCTGGGCCGGCCCCTCCTGGGTGGGCCACGGAATGTGCATGAGGAGGAAGCTGAGTACAGCCAGGGGTGTAGGAGTCCTTGCCATGGCCCTGGGGGTTTGCCGCTGGGGATGGGGAAGGGGCTGCTGGAATGAGGGACTCAGGAGCCGAGGCCACCCGCACTGGCAGGCGTGACCGTCTCTGCCCGGCGCCCCCAGGGCTGAGAGAGCTTCACTGGAACCGCGCAGGCGCTGAGTTGCTGTCCCTGCAGTTACACGGGGCCCACGGGGTGGCCTGGGCTGCTGTGTACCCCCAGCCCCCCCAACCCTGCCCTGTGAGGCATGGCTTCATGTCCGCTTCCGCCTGGGAGTGGGCCTGCCCCGCAGAGCTTCGTCCTTTAGGGTGAATTTAATCACTTACTCACGGATGGGAGAAAGGTCGACAGGTAAAGAGCAGCATGAGGAAAAAACCCACGGAAAACACAGGCGCCTTGACCCTGGGCCGGGTCCCTTCCTGGCCCGGGTCCCTTGCTGGCTGCCTCTCCCTGGAATCACCCTTGGGGCGAAGGCATTTTTGCAATGTTACCGCATGAGTTTGTCCAACTCGTTTCCAATGCAGCGGGTTTCCTGTCATTAGAGTCCTTGTGAGCAATTTTTGTGTGTGTGGTTTGGGTCTTTGAAACAGCTTTGTTAGGCTGTGATCCACCCCCTTCCAAGTGTACCATTCGGCGGCATTCAGTATCCTCAGAGCCATCACCAAGGCCAGTTTCTGGGCGTTCCCATCACTGTAGAGGGAGCCCCACACCCCTCAGCTGCCGCTTCCTGTGCCCTCGAGCCCTCCAGCCTCGATCGACTTCCTGTCTCCACAGAGGCCCCTGTCCTGGACACTTGGCATGGATGGGATCCCCTCGAGGGTCTCGGGGTGCTGCTGCCTCCTCCCGGCAGGCGCAGGGTGTAGGGGTCGTTCCTGGCCTGGCTTGGCCCAGTGTCGCTCTGCACTTCCCTCGGCGACCCCGGAAATCACTGCCCACTGTTGACGGTGGACTCCATGGCAACTTCCAGCTTTCCCCTGCACTAAGTGACACGGCAGAGGACCCCTTTTAAAAACACACTGCTTTCTTTGTGTTTCTAATTTTCCTTCCGATAAATGTACAGAAATGTAAGAGTCAGGTCAAAACTCTGAGCATTTTTACAGTTCTCAGAAGCTACCGTAGCGGTTACCGTAAACCGCCTCCTAACTTAGAGTGTGATATTTCCCACCACACCTTTGCAGTGGAGAGGTGAACGCAAATCTGTCTTCCTTCCATCCTCAGGGAGGCTGAGTGGTTTTTTTTGTCTGTCGCTTTTGGTCAGTTTAAGTTCGTACATTTTAATTATCTTTCATAAATTCTGCCTGCTCGTATAGTGGGGTCTTCGTATTGTTTTACGGGAGTGGCTAGTAGCGTAAGACTGATGTTTTTGTTGCTTCATTTCTTCTAAGTCTATTCCGGCATGGCAGTCACATATAATATTATATCTGATACCTGTGTGCCTGTCCTCTGGAGGCGGACAAATGAGCCCTCCTGTCCCCTCTCCCACGGCCCCCACCTATGCCTGGCCTCTGCCGCTCCCCGAGCTCAGTCTGTGCCCCCTCTGCTCGGGAGCCTACCCTGCCCATCCTCCTCCCTGGTGGCTTTCTAAGTCTCTCCATTTGCAGCACCCGTGGGCTCAGCCTGGCATGGATTCCAGCAGCGGCGCACAGTCCCTCTCCTCCCTCACAGCTGGCCTTGCTGGCTCCTGAGGACCCAGAGAACCCCCTGGGATCCTCCGAGAAACCCCAACACCTTCAGCTTCCCTTCCCAACCGTTCTACCCTGCCCTGTCCAGGACCCCCGCTGCCCGCCTTCCTCTCAGGTCCCCACGCCTGGCACCTCTGCCCGAGTGCACCTGCCCGGCCCACAGTCGCCCCCCATGCGTTGTCCTCAGGAATGCAGGCAGCTCCAAAGCTCTGCCAGGTGTGGGGAGTCCAACGGGCTGGGCCTCCAGAAGGCAGCCCTGGACTTGAACACAGGCTGCCCGTCCCTCCGCTCAGCCTCTTAGGGCCTGGGTCTGCATCTTGACTTCATCCTGTGTCCATGCTGTGACTCTTCATGGCTAGCATGGCTGCAGCTGGGCCAGAGGCTGCAGATGTGGCCAGCCAGGTGTGGAGAGGCCTGGCCGGGTGGGGACAGCCTGATGCAGCCCTGGCTACCCTGCCTCCTCTGGCCGCAGCACCTGTCCAGGGCTGCACCCATCCAGGTGCCCAGGGAGTCTCTGGGCATCCTCTGTGTTGTCCCCAGCTCCACGCCGCCCGGGGTACACACTGGAGTGACTTCTACCTCAGGCCCTGGTGTCCCTCCTTGGTGGCTGCAAGGGCATAGGCCAGCCCGTGTGTGCAGTGTACACGTCCCTGATCATCACCCTGGGTCAAATACAGAGCTGGGGCCGTGGCCCAGATGCACTCGGGTCATCCAAAAGGGCTCTCTGGTTGCCAGGAGCCGGCGGGTGTGCAGTAGAGGGTGCAGGGCCTGGCGGGGAAGATCCTGCTCATGTTTTCTCCTCTGCCGGGAGGCAGGCGAGTGTGCAGCGGGGCTGAGGCTCTGCAGAGCTCTGAGCAGCCTCCTGGCGCTGCGAGGCGGGAGCCGCGGGCGGAGACAAGCCAGGCTCCGTGGCAGGGAGCTGCAGCCGCCTTGGCACCGCCTGGCGCTCGGCCGGGCTGCTGGCGCCCAGCTGGTGGGCTGGCAGGGAGCAGCGACAGCCAGGGACAGATCCAGCAGAAGGGGACAGTGCTAGGATGCTGGCCGAGGGGTGAGGGTGTCCACTCACAGGCCGGTGCCCGGGGGAAGGCCATCGACTGGACGGGGTGCCAGGACCCACTAAAGGTAGGAAGTGGGTAGACAGTGCTCATGGAAGCTGTGCTGGGGGCCGCAGGGGGGCTCCTGGGGCGGATGCACCGGGCATGAGGCCCCCACGGCACCTGTCACTCCTGTCTCTGTCTCCAAGCTGCTGTCAGGGCCCTGCTGTCACCCCACAGAGGCTGAGCAGGGAGCATCCCAGGCCCCGCCAGCAGCCTGGCCCTCGCCTGTACCGTGCCTGCCTGCAGTAGGCACGGTGCCATCTCCAGTGCTGGGTGCCAGCAGCGCCCGCCCGTGAAGTGTGCATTCGGTGGTGATGGGTTCTCCTTCCCCGCTCTGCTGCCACCCTCCTGAGCTTGTAGTCTGCTGCCTCCCTGGGGTCTGTCTTGGGGAGCCTGCTCTGTGTGGGGGACTGCCGTTGCCTGCCATCAGCTGAGGCGGGCAGCTGGGCGTGTGGGGGCAGCGGTGCAGGCGGTGGGTGAGGAGCTCCTATTGCCTGGCAGAGGCCGAGGCGGGGCTGGCTCCTGGGGAGCTGCGGTCTGAGCTGGGGGAGGGGAGAGGCGTTGATGGGGGCCCCTGGCTGTGCCTCCACATCCTGCCTCCCTGCAGGGCTGGGGGCTTCTTTCTCAGCCTGCCCACCCGAGGTCTGGGCCCTGCTCCCAGTACAGTGCAGGCACCTATGGCTGTCTCCATGGCAACAAGAAGCCCAGCATCCCTCCGGGACCACCAATTAATTCATTGTCCCTTCATTCTTTCCTCGCTTTTTCCATCTCTCTATCCTTCCCTTCTTTCTCTCCCCGTTCACCTCTTACACCCTGGCTGGACTCAGCGTGTGTCCTGCCCTGGGCCGGGGCTAGGTCACGGGAATGGTGGACACATGCCTGACTTGAGGGTGAGTGACCGTGTGGGGACCCAGCTAGAGAGGGGGACACCCAGGTCCCTTCCAAATGCACTGTCTCAGTGTGACTCCAGGGTGCTCAGTAGGGGGGGGCTCCTCCTGACTCCCCATGGGCGCCTCCCATTCTATCCTGGTGTCAGCTCAGAGACTTTGTCATCAGCAATGTGTGGACATACACCAGGCCCCCCCTTTTAAAATGCATGTTTGCTCAAAAAAACACCCACAGAAGGAATATTTGTTTATCACACAGTAAACAGAATCATTAATAAAAAACCACCACCCAAGCTACCGGGCATTCAGACGGGAGTTAAATTTTGCACGGACACACGGACACATGCAACACAACACCCAGGGAAAGACACAAACACACAGAGCACACAAACATAAACACAGAGACACACAGAGAGAAACACAGACACGTGAGCACATAAACACACAAGCACGGGTGGCACATGGAGACTCGCCTTCAGCCCACATCCTCCCCTAGCACTGCGGCCTCATGGGGCCCCAGCCCTGTTCCTGAGACTGCGCCACTCTGATCCCTGGCCGGGCCGCAGAGTCGGAGGTGTGGACTGGACCCTTGCTCTCCACGGCAGGTCCCCAAGCCCAGGGTGGCCCAGGTTCCTCAGATCCACCAGGTCACTCTGTCAGAGCCCCTTATCCTTGGCGATACATCTGAGTGGCGCATGGCCCCTCAGTGGTGGACACCCCGACACAGCGAGGTGGTGAGGGACAGGAGAAGGGGTGCACGTGGCCTTGTGGAGGAGAGAGGTGGGGTCTGGGGGGTCAGTGGCCTCTGCAGGTGTTAGGGTGAAGAGCCTTGGGGGCTGCTGACTCTGCAGCGCAGGACACTCCCATGGCACCACTGCCCTTCCCCTGTTCTTGATTGTCTTCTCACTGATCCCATTTTTTTCTTGCTGATCCCTCACACCTTGGCGAGGGGGTCTTTTAAGATTAAGATACAGTTCTGGAAATTCAAAAAGCAGCTCCAGCTTGGACCTGGCTGAGCACTCCTAGAGCTGCTGGCCTGGGCCCAACCTCCATGCAGGGTGACTGGGAGGGCGTAGCTAGCAGGAGGGTGTGGCCAGTCTCAGGGGTACAGAGTGAGTGGATCGAGGGCCTGCATGGGCCCACCTGGCAGACGGGGCCACCTGCTGGCCCTGGGAGGAGAGGTTGGCATCTGCCCTGAGCTCTGGGCTGCACCCTCCCTGTTCTGTCTTATTAAAGATGACAGCCACGCGCCAGAGGCACGGGCATTTTTCTGAAACCATGCACCACAGTCCTCCAAGCCATCTTGAGGCGCTCATGGCAAGGGCCACCTCTCTCCGGTGCCATAGGCCCTCCAGGCAGCAGCTAGCAGGAGAGGCCGCCGGGCGGGCATGCAGGCCTGCACGCTGGAGCTCGACTTACATTTCCTGGTGACAGCGATCTGATGGCGCATGCACGCTGGTCCTTTGCCCGTTTCTAACTGGGGCCACTTGTCATTTGTTGAGTGGTCGGAGCTCTTTATATTCCAGATGCCACACCCTCATCAGGTGCCTGATTTGCAAATCTTCTCCCCTTTTCTTTTGGTTTTTCGAGACAAGGTATCACTAGTAGCCCAAGCGGCCTTGATTTGCACTGATCCTCCTGGATCCCTGCTGGGATTACAGGTACACCAAGATTATAGGTGTGCTGGGATTACAGGTGTGCCGGGATTACAGGTGTTGGGTTTATAGGTGTGCCAGGGTTACAAGTGCGCCGGGATTACAGGTGTGTGCCACCGTGCCTGGCTTTACTCTGCCCTTTCGCTGTTTGGTTAGTCTGTGGTAAACAAGAGCTTTCCATCTCTGCGAAGTCTTGTGTCTCCTTTTTTTCTGGCCGCTTGTGGCTTGTGGCATCAAATTTCTGAGCCCACTTCTTGCCCGAGGTCAGATGGGTCCGCCCCTGCGCTGTCCTCTGACCCTTTCACCGTCTTAGCTCTGCCACCCCGGCCTGCGATCCGCAATGCAGTGAATGGAGCCATACGTGTACCGCAGTCGTGCAGCTCGCACACAGAGCATGCTCGTGTGACCAGCACCCAAGGCCAGGCCAAGAGCTTGCCCAGCCCCAGAATCCACAGCAGCACAGATTGGGTTTGCCTCATTTTGAATTTGGTGCACGCAGGGTCTGCCCTGCTGTTTCCGGCTTCTGCTCCACGCTAGGTCTTTCTGTGTCCTCTGTGTTGCTCGTTCAGGGCACGAGGGTCAGGTCGTGGGAGAACACGTTTTACACCCCAGAGCTGAGCCCCACCTCCCTGGGCTGAGAGCTCTCGAGGCCAGACTTACACCCCGCACTCCAGGGCCAGGCTGTGGGGCTCTGATCCCTGCCCACACCTGCCCGAGGTGTGACCTTGTCATTCCTCCACCTCTCCAGGCCCTGGGGGAAATGATGGTGTGAACACACAAGTTAGTGTGTGTGAAGCGCTTCCCTGCGGTGCAGAAACTGGCCCCAGCAGTGACCTCGCTCGGATTCATGGGTGAACACACTATCAACTGCCGTGTAGAGCCAGGGCCAATTTGCCCCGGAAGATGCACTTTCTCCTCATGTGGCTGTCACGGAAGCTCTGCTATTAGAAGCCGTGGGTCTGGAGCCCCTGGATGAGGTGGAGGTGGGGACCGGTCACAGGTTGCACAGTTGGGAATGCCTGTTCTATTTGGGCTCATTGAAAATGCCCTGAGCCTCCGTTGACAGCTGTGACATGGCCATCAAGTGGCTTTCACTCCAAAACACAGAGCTGTTGGAATCTCATTTGAACCTCAAGCAAAAGCGTTGCTCTACCACCTGGTGGGGTGGCCACCAGAACCACCAGTGACCGGTCAGGGCAGGCACCATGTGTGACCCACTGCCCTGACAGAGCCCTGTCACCAGCAGCTCTGGTGTGGCCCAGCTGCCACCTGCCCTGGGGGCAGCTCACAGGGAAGAGGAAGCCCTCATAACCACTGACACCAGGAGGCAGGGCCAGAAAGGACCAGATGGGACGTAGGGTGTCAGGAGCCACGGCTGGGGACAGAGGGCCAGAAGGACCGGGACGTGAGTAGGCTGTGTGGATGGGCCTAAGGGTTGGCAGAGGCCTTGCCCGGACTGTGCAGGAGAGGAGTGGTTCTGGATTTCCTCTCCCTCTGCACGGGCCAGCACCAGAGCGAGGGGATGACAAGCGGGGTGCTTGCGATGACATTTCCCCGCGACTTACATGCTCAGGGAAGTGACGATCACGAATTCAAATCCAGGCAGTGAGTGTGAACCATCTTCCCATTTTAGGAAAGAAGTTTTCTTCCACATTTAGCAACGGCTTTGCCCCACCTTGCCAGAGGGCAGGAACTGTTCACCGCCAAGTAACCCTGAACTCGATACTCTGGGGAGATTAGATTCTTTTTGCACCTTGCAAAAGCAAGCCAGACCAGCTAACACGCTTTGTGTAGGTTATTTCTGTATTGATATTTGTCATATAATTTAATGGAGTTTAGGAATTATGAAAATAAAAAGTGCTAATTGAGCAAACTGAGGAATACAGAAATATGGAGAGAAAATCATTCGTTTTCCACCTCCCTGCTTCGGTCCTCCATCTGAGGAGGGAAAGCTGCCTTGCTCCTCCTCCTCCTGCCTTCCCGGCCCCCTTCCTCCCATCCTGGAGATGTAGGGGTCAGAGGCCATCCCCCTCCGTGCTGACCACCCACAGCCACTCCTGGGGACTGGCAACACATCTTTGCCAGATGTGGAAGTCGGGCAAGAGTAGCTTAGTCTCGCCAGGCTTCACCGAGGGCTCCTTCCGTGGCCAGGGAACCCATGGGATTGGCTGCAGGAAGACTGTTTGTCCCAGTGACTGCCAGGCCCTTGGACACACACCCTGTCCAGCGTTCCCAAGGACCGTGTGCAGTGCCCACATCGAGTGCCAGGACGGACACCCCTGTCTGTGCTCTCTTCCAGGCAGGGGACAAGCACTACCACCCTTCCTGCGCACTATGCGTCAGGTGCGGCCAGATGTTTGCGGAAGGCGAGGAGATGTATCTTCAAGGTAAAGATGCCCCGGGGTCCACACCATGTACAGGGCATGCAGGGTCAGCTGCTTGCTTTGCCCTGGAGCCTGGGGTGGGCGGGCAGGACTCCTAGGCCCAGGTCCTCAGCACACACTTCTTGCTGAGGGTCCCTGTGAGCCCAGGATGGCACAGGTGTGCCAGGCCACATGGGTCCCACAAGCGGAGCTTAAGCAAGCACCGCTGCTGTGTCCTTGCTGCCCCCAAGGGCCCCACGGGCCTCATCCTCATTCTCCCGCTTCCAGTGGGATCTTTATACACGGAGATCTCTGTTTGCAGAGCTCTTCTGAGTTTTCTGTTCCCCAGGAGACCCACTCAAGATAACCCTTATGCAAAGAAATGTAGTGGGGTGGCTCGTGCCAGTGTCCTGCTCACATTTTGGGGTGGCATATTCTGCACACTCCCTCTTCGTGAGCTGCACCCCAGTCTTGCTTTGCTTTACCGCATGTGGCTTGTTCACCCCAGCCTGCAAGTAAAGCAAGCAAGGTGCATCCTGATAAAATGCCGGGGAAGGTGTCATCCTGCGGTCGGAACCAGGGTGACAGCGAGGCGCCACGGCCCAGGGTTGCAGGGATTGGTGGTGGAGACCAGCAAGAGGTGGCAGAGTCTCACTGCAGGCAGAGCCCCAGCTGGGCAGCCCCAGCACAGCCACAGAGGTCACCAGACAGGGAGGACGGCCAGTGATCAGTGCGTGGGTGGTCGCTGAGCTCACTGAGCTAACAGGTGCTGCTGGTGCAGACAGAGACGTCCACAGGCTCACGGGTGTGTGACCCAGGAGGCGTGGACAGGGCTGGGCCTGGCCCCATCTAGAGGGCGGGACCTCGGCCCAGAGGCAGGAGGGGCCTAGGCCCAGAGGCAGGAGGCCCTTTGTCCAGCTTGAAGGTGGTGCAGCTGCAGGATACAGGTGCAGAGAGGTGGGGGCAGAGCCTAGACAGGTAGGCGTGGCCAGGCAGGAAAGATGGACAGCTGGCCCCATGGCCTGGGGAGAGGAGCTAGAGGGTGGAGGCCGGCCAGAGGCTTTGCCTGGCCCCAGGGCAGGCAGCCAGAGCCCCAGCACTGGTTGGATGTGGCAGAGGGGCTGAGATGAGGGTGGTGAAACCGAGACCTCATCAGCCACACTCCTTTGGGGTAACTGTTGCCTCCTGGGGTCCCAGAGGTGGCAGGGCAGGGCTAGGTGGCAAAATGGCAGCAGCCACATCCGCTACACTATCCCGCAGATGGCCTGCTGAGTGACCGCACAGGGGCCTAACCTGGGCAGTGTCCAACAGACCCCCTCTTCTGGGAGAACCCGGCGGCAGTGCCAGACGGAGCGGCCCTGTCAGCGGTCCCTGGTGTCACTGCTGTCCCGGGTGCCGGAGAGGACTGAAAGGCGTCTGTCCGTGCGCGTCCAGCTGTGCGGGGCTGCCCTGCAGGGAGGGCACCGTGAATAGTGTTCTCAGACAGTGGCCAGGCGGGAGTCCAGCATGACAGCACTCGGGCCCCAGCTCACGCCCAGGGCGACCTCGTCTGACACAGAGAGGTTCTTCGTGCTGTGAGCCAAGGCTGGCACCCGCTCCAAGGGGACCTGCTGGGCACCCGGGGGACCCTGGTCATCCCACAGTGTGCGCTGTCAGAGCGAGGGCGGCATTTGAACTCTGCTCTGTGAGGCACAGGCGCCTGTGGCCGGGCCGGGGCCCTCAGTGGAGCAGGTGACCCTGAGACCTCTGCCATGGAGGCGCTATTTGATGGGGGAGCCGCCACAGTCAGAGCTCTGGCAAGCCTGAGTTTCCAGGTTCCCTGCAGCCCCAGAACCACCCCCGCTCCCACTGGAGACGCCTGTGAACACACGAGCGTGTTCGCGGCCTCCCCGGCCCTCGCTGCTTACCAAGGAGCCCACCAGCCTGGGCACCGTGGTGAGACCCTGTCTCAAAATATACAAGGGCTGCGGATGCAGCTCAGGGCCGAGGCTGGGTGAGAAGTCAGGGGAGGGCTCCTTCCCCGCTGCTGAGGAGGAAATGGGGAAACTGAGGCCGGGCAGCACATGCTCGGCGTGTGTGGGGCAGCCGGGGGTGGGGTGCAGCCCCCACCTTCAGGGGACACAGGGCTTGGGAGAGAGGAGGCCACGCAGTCAGCGAGGAGAGCTGGGGCGCTGGCTTTGGGGGAGCAGGGAGAGCTGCGCTGTACCCGCCGGGAGCAGGAAGTTGCGATCACAGCTGGCATCTGTACAGCGGTCATCCAGCCGCTGTCCCTGAGTTGTCCTCCACCTAACCATTGTGCTACCGAGGACCCGAGGAGGCAGGGTGACCTCCGGCACTCGGTTTTAGGGGAGCTGCCAGTGCCTCGCAGCCCGAGGCCGAGTCAGAGAGGGGCAGAGGGCTGGGCGTGGGGCGCGGGCTCCTGGCAGCCTTGTTGTGCTGCTGGTCCTGTCTTGACTCGGTGACGGGACTGACAGGCGAAGCTGAGGCAAGGCAGCCTCTGAGACCAAGTGGTTAATGGCAGGGAGGGCCGGGTGCCGCAGCTGGTGCCACACCCACACCTGTGCCCATGGTAGCCACTCCTCGCTTGGCCGGGAAGCTCCAACACATGCAGGTCCTGATGCCTGACGCTAGCTGCCACCCGGCTGGGGTCACTGTCCCCACGGCTGGGCTTGGCCAGCAGGCAGCAGAGGCCGCCAAGGAGGGCGCAACACCTGGCGCTCAGGACTGCAGCTTCCTCCCAGGGAGAGGTTGGTACACAGAATGCATCTGCCCCATCGCCGTGTGCCCCAGGCCCCTGCAGGCCTGGAGGGTGAGCGGGTGTCTCCACGCGGCCGCAGGCTCCCACCATGCCACGGGGCTCGCGCTGACTACGTCCTCTCGGCGCTGCGCCCACAGGTTCTTCCATCTGGCACCCGGCGTGTCGACAGGCGGCCAGGACTGAGGACAGAAACAAGGTTGGTGGCTCCCCTGCCCCTGCGCATTCTTCTCAGCCCGGGCCCCCCCGTGTCAGGAGGCGCAGCTGGGCCTTGGGCTGCGGTCCCGGCCCTGGGTTCCGGTGTAGGGGAGGAGTGCCGAGGTGTGAGCGGAGCTGGGGAGAGGCGATGCGGCTCTGGCCCGGCTGTGGCTGTGGAAGTTTGGGGACAGCTGCAAAGTGGGAGGCCCCAAACGGTCCTGGCAACCACCTCTGACGCCATCTGCAAGTGTGAGGGTCCCCAAGCCATCACCAGGCTTCATGACTGGTAGAAGGGCTCTCACCTCCCTGGGAGCTCGTGTGCTTGTGGGGTGACAGCTTACAACAGAGGAGGACACAGAAAGAGCCACCTGGGGCAGGTCCAGGAGGTCCAGATGCAGAGATTCCTCGTCCTCTCCCTGTGAGGTCAGGGCGTGGCACCTTCCCTGAATTCATGTGACAATGCAGCAGGTGTTACTAGGGCTCCCTGACACGGGAGTGACTGGCAAATCATTCCACCAATGCCCTGATCCCATGTGACCAGAAGCTCCATCCTGAGTCATGTGGTTGGTCTTTCCGATGTGGCCAACCCCACCCTAAACAAAGATAGTTGGTGTCATGCACCTGTTATCCAGCAGTCTGGAGGCTGAGGCAGGAGGATTGCAAGTTAGAGCCCAGCCTGGCAACTTAGCAATTTAGTAAGACCCTGTCTTAAAATTCAAAAAACAACAAAACAAAACAAAAAACTGGGATGTAGCTCTGGAAAGGCCCTGGGTTCAATCCCCAGTTTCCCAGGCCTCCCAGAAATCAAAGGCCAAGGCCAGCTGTCTCCCTGGGTGCAGCCAGATTCTCACTGTCCACGTGGGCACAGAAGGGGTGGCTGTGACCAAGGCTGTGAGAGGCTGTGCCCTCTGGAGCTGGTGTCCAGGGCAGAGACCGGGTCATCCCCTCCACAGCCAGCAGTGCCACACAGCTGGTACAGGGGGAGCACCGGGGGACCCACAGCCTGACAGTGGGGACAACCTCAGAGGGCCTCCTCTAGATGACACGTGGGCCGGCTACAAGGAGAGAGGGACAGAGAGCCGGGGACGGAAGGGAGGGGACGAGGCCGGCCGCTTGGGCAAAGGCCCTGGGGTCAGCCCCTCCCTGCTCACTCCACCTGGAGGCCCGGGGGCATGTGCTGTTGATCCCAGCAGCCCCGCTCCTGTGGGGCCACAGCTCAGGGACTCGTGAGCATGGCTGAAGGAAGGAGCCAGGCTGGACGGCAGGCTGCAACCCCCAGGACCACAAGGGCTCTGAGGACAGACGTGGCAGGGCCTGTGATGCCCCCAGGACAGCCACCTCCGCCGGCAGTGAGGACACAGAGCAGGGCGAAGGTGGGGTCAGGAGCCGGTTTTGGGGGGACGCAGGCAGGGTTGCAGAGAGCCCAGAAGCAGGAAGCCACACAGTGGGAGCGAGATTGGGCAGCCCCCAGCTCCTGAGGACCCCCAGTTGCTCTGCATGCTGGATTCTGTACCCCCTTTCCTCCCACAATCACAACCATCCTCTGTCAAGTCCTGCTGCGGCGTCACTGGCCAGGATGGCAGGAAGCTGCTGGCTCACGGTGCGACCTGTCACCCTCTCACACGGCCACTCTGGTCCACAATTCAGTCCACAAACTGCAGCTCCACCACCTGGGCCCCCACGAACCATGTGGTGACCCTGCAGTGACCTTCTGCGTTGTCCCAAAGGCTGGCAGAGGCCCACAGAAGGGACCTGGGGAGGGACCTGGCTTGCTAAGGGACCCAGACACACGTGTGTGCATGGGAGCTTCCTGTGTCCTGAGCACGGCCAGAACAGGGGAAGGGCAGCCCACAGCCACAGGCAGCTCCTCGGGCACCAAGTAGGGCAGCCCACTGCACGCAGCTGGGCCAGGCTGCAGGAAGCATCTGCACAGCTCCTGCCGACTCATGGCCGCTGGGCAGCCAGGGACTCTAAGGCTGGGAGCACAGGACAGAGAGGGCCTCGTCCTGCCCTGAGCAGGCGGACAGCTTCCTGGCTGTGGTGTCTGCAGCGTGCTGGAGTAGTGGTTTTGCAGCTGAGCATTCAGGCGGCCCGGGCACAGCCAGTCCCTGGGATGACGCCACAGCTGACCTGGCTCCAGCCTGGCACACTCTCCGCCCAGCTGGTAGAGGGCTCCAGGGCCGCCCTGCTCCTAGACAGTGACTGCATAGCCTGGCAGGCTGGGGCAGCTCAAGTGGCCACCAGCTGGAGCAGTGCATGGCAGAGGTGGTGTCTGAGTCACTAACGCTCTTAAAGTTTCACCGAGGCAGAGGTAGTACCGCTGTGCCACTCAGCCATCACAAGAAGAAATGACTCACCTGTCAGGGCTGAGCAGTTGCTGTAACAGGTGTTCCTCCTGCCAGCCTTGGACGGCTCCAGGACCCTCAGGAAGCCCACATGTCCCTGCCGTGGCTTACTTCCAAGGAAGCATGGCTCCTACTGCGGGGACAGCAGCGCCCCAGGATGTGGACCTCAGTGGACCTCAGACAGTGTGGTCCCAGTGGCTTGGGGATTGGGATCCTTCCCAGAGCCATCCCTGGATGTGGAAACGGAAGTTCTCCACGTCCTGGAGCAGTGGCTGAGGTCCGGGGGTTCTCACAGGCATGGACTGGGGCCACCTTCTGTGTAGGCAGCACTGGGAACAGGCTGAGAGCTCAGAGGCCCGTGGTCCGAGGGTACAGGCAGGTCCTTAAATGGACACAGACTCCGCATGCAGTGCTGGGGCCGAGGGGATGGAGAAGGCAGGCGGGGCTCCAGCAGGGACCCTGCCAGTGTGAGAATGAGGGAGAGTGGGGCGGTGTCACCCTGTCCCTCCTCTCTCCTTAGATGCAGAGCCCCAGGTACAGCCAGGCCTGCGTGGGCGCCGCGCCCTGTGCCTTACAGGTTGGTGCCCCCTGCCTGCAGTGTGGCATGTCTGGTCTCCCTGTCTGCCTGTCATGCTGGTGTTGAGCTGAGTGTAGGACGATCAGCAGGGACAGAGGCCTGAAGCCGGGGGCTTCAATGGTGGAGACTCCTGTCTGCAGCTGCAGAGGTCCCAGGGCCCTGCGGGCAGGGTGTCACTCTCTCCTGGGCTTGCAGATGGCGTCTTCTCCCTGTGTCCTGAAGTGGTTGTCTCTGTGTGTGTCTGTGTCCCGACTACATCCTTTTTTTGGTATTTTGAGATAAGGTCTCACTGTGTAGCCCAGGTTGGCCTCAAACTCTCAGCGATCCTCTTGCCTCAGCCTCCTGGGTGCTGGGATTATGGGTGTGCACCACCACACCCACAGGATCTCCTCCTCCTCCAAGTCAGATGGAAGGGGGCCCACCCTGCTGGCCTCATGACCTTGGCGACCTCTGTCACCTGTGTCCACACAGGCTCACTGAGGTCCTGGGGTCAGAGTTTGGGGACGTTTCAGCTCAGTCCCTGGCAGCTGGGGCCACCAGTGCCCTCTGCAGGGGTGGGGACACTGAGGCCGACCGGGCAGAATTCTGGGCAGGGGCAATGGCCAGGAGTCAGCGGGTGTCTGGCAGAGGACATGGGGCTGCTGGCAAGGAGAGGTGTGAGGCTTTGGGGAGCCCCTGAACAGAGATGCATCTCCCCAGATGGGTGAGAAGGAGCCTGGGCACAGGAGGGGACATGTAGGGAGGGGAGGAGAGGGACTTCGGGAAACTGCCAGCCCAGGGTGTGCAGCGGGCACAGGGAGGGGTCAGGAGGCCCAGCCAGCGGGGGCCCTCGAGGCGGGACGGGGCAGAGCAGGGGCATGGGCAGACGCACATGGACCAGGGACAGAGACCGCAGGCAGGGTGGCCACAGTGCCCAGCGCTGACCTGGGGCGTCCCAACCACTGCTAACTGGGAGGCCTCCCGCGAAGCCTGGGCTTGGGGCACAGCGGCCTGCGTCACCCCAGGTGTAGGTGGGAAGCATATCTGCCCAGCAGTGTGGAAGGGGTGTTGTGTCACTGAGGCCTCGTGGCCACATAACGGCACGGCTCACCCTCCGAGATCGAGCGCCCCCTGTGGCTGCCCAGGAGCCTCCACACTTTTCCCAGCAGTGCTGGGCACGGCCGAATTGCTTTTGCCCACAGGCCTGTGGTCTCCTGGACTCTGGCTTCCCAGTGTCCCATCCACTCGGTGCCCTATTCTGAGAAGGCCTCCTGCCTGGTGCCTCCTAGCTGGCATGGCTGCTGCTGCAGCACCAGTATGGAGATCCCCTGCCTCAGCCTCCTCATCCACCTCTGTTCCAGGAAACAAGGACATCCTCTGAGAGCATCATTTCTGTCCCCGCCTCCAGCACATCCGGGTCTCCGAGCCGTGTGATCTATGTAAGTAGTGGCGGGCTGTGGCCAGCCCTGTTCTATCTGCCTTGGGGCTGACTCAAAGCTGGAAACGTGGACATATTTGCCCGACCCAGAGAGGCCCCTGGGTGCTCATCCCCAGAGGTCTGGTGACACAGCTGTCGATATGGACGCAAGAACAGGGTTGGCTTCCGGCCGGGTGTGCACGGGTAGGCTGGTGCAGTCCTGCTGGCACGGACATGGAAAGCACCCTGCATGCCTAGGAAGGCAGCGTGTAGAGGATGCTGTGTGTGTGTGTGTGTGTGCACACGTGCATGGGCACATGCCTGTGCATGCAAGTAGAAAATGATCAGAAGCATTGTAACCAATGGTGGCCGGCGGTTACCCGTGCACTTTGGATCGGAGGTGGGGGTTCTTAATGGCCAACTGTACTGGCGTTCGGAGCCGAAATTCCTTTTCTAGGGAGTGCCAAGGCACAGGGTGAGGGCTGGCACACTGGGCAAGGAGCCAGGGGACATGTGAGGAGTCATTCCTGCCGCCCCCACCTCAGGCAGGCCCTCCGGGTTCTGCACCACAGTGGGGGTCGGATTGGCTCGTGTCTGTACACTTTCAGCCCTCAGTCCGGCAGCACAGCTGGACACAGTGTGGCTCCAGACCTCCGTCTAATGGGAAGGGCCTCTGTCCCACGGGTCACAGTGACTTGTCGCCTGCTGAGACCGGTGGCACCAGGGTCCTTACGAGTTGCCTGCTCTGAGGCCCTACCTCCCGTGTGAGGCTATCTAGTGGCCGTGCGACCCTGGATGAGGTGTGTCCCTCTGTGATCCCTACAGACCCCTGCGCCCACTGTCCAGGCTTGTCGAGGGTGTATGTGGAGGACGAACCTGAGAGTGCTGTTGTTGCCCTGGGAACGCCAGTCCTGGGGGTTGCCACAGCAACCAGGCCGGGGCTGGGACAGGAGGAATGACTGTCTCGTGTCCTGGGGGCCGAAGTCCAGGACCAAGGTGTCGCAGGGTCAGCTCACCCGAGGGTGACACCCTCTCCCTGTGTCCTCACGTGGTCACCCTGGGTGTCTGTGTCCTGGTCACCTCTTCTCGGGACACCAGTGGAACCTACTGTGCAGAATTTATTTTGCCTTCACGATCTCTTTAAAGGCCCGATGCCAAGGCCAGCCACGTCCTGAGGCCCTGGGGGCTAGGACGTCATCCTAAGAATTCACTGTCATCCTCAGGAGTCATGGGAACTGCAGTTGGTGATACTTACGTAAGGCGGCATCTGCAGAGGGCCTGGCACAGGGCCCAGCTCAGGTGGCCTCTGGGAGGTGGCCCTGCTGCTGCTGCTGGGAACGCACAGCACAGCACAGCACAGACGAGGTTCTTTGAGAAAAGCAAGTTGGACCCGAGTGTGGGAGTCCATGCCTGTAGTCTCAGCTCTGAGAGGCTGAGGCAGGAAGACTGCAAGTTCAAGGCCAGCATAAACAACTTAGCTAACCCCTGTCACAATTACTGTAAAATTTCTCTTAAAGATCTGGGAGTATAGATCAGGCAAAGGCCTTGAGATGCATAACTAAATAAATAAAAGATAAAAATAAACTGGCCTTCACAAAGGGCCTGGGAGCTGTGATGCCCACATGGCCATGCCGTGAGCAGTGACGGTCACCTTCACAGTCCCCACCCTGCTTTCAGGGCCGAGCTGCAGGGCGGCAGAGCGGTGCTGCCGAGCCAGCCCTGCGGGGACCCCTTGGCCCCGCTACAGAGAAGCCGTGGTCGGTGCTTTCGTCTCCACTGGGGAGCTGCTAGCGCAGCCCAGTGCCGAGCCCCACGCTGGCCCTGGGACTCCGCCGTGCTGGGTCTGGACAGTGACCACGGGACAGTGGGGGTGTTGTCTCCGCATGCATGGCCTCCTGCCCAGCAGAGGCGTGCAGCAGTTTTAAACAGAGGCCTCCCACAGATCCCACGGAACCAGTGTCCTGGGTCTGAGGAGCCAGCTCTGCGGTTGGCACTGTGGAGAGCCGGCCCAGGCAGGGCGCGTGCAGCTCTGGGCAGCCCCAAGACTGTGCGGTCGGGCGTCGGGGTGGCAGAGAGGTGCATAGACTGGCTTGCCTCACACAGCTGCCTGCCCAGCACCTGCATGTCCTCCCCACGCTGGGGCGCCTGGCTGTGCCCACTCAGGCTGGCATCCATGCCCCCATGGCAATGCACACATCATCCAGGTCCTTCCCCAAGAGCGTGTGGTCCGAGGGACATGCCTGCTCGACACGGGCTCTGCCCCACCTGCCACTTCCTCCCTGCTGCTGTCTGCCCTGGGCTCAGTGCTGGGTGCCCTCCACACCCACCTCAGCGTGCTGCCCCGCACGGCACCTGTCTGCGGCTTCTCATCCAACAGCTCCCCTGCCATCCCCAACACCAGTGCACAGGAAGGGAACGGTGCCCCTGGAGCTGCTACGTCCTTCACCACGGACCGAGTTCCTGGAGGAGCCCCTAGTGGTCCTACTGCGAGGGTCAAACATGCACACAGCAGGGACTCAGTAAACTGGGGCACTTAAAATGATTTTTTTGCAGTGCTAAAGATGGAAGCCAGGGCCTTTGCACTGAGCAACATTCCCAGTCCTTGTTTTATCTTTTATTTTGCAACAGTGTCTTGATAAGTCATGAAGTAGCCCAGGCTGTGCTCAAACTTGAGATCTTCCTGCCTCAGCCTCCCAGACTCCTGGGATTACAGGTGTGCACCACCAGGCCCAGCAAAAGCATGTTTTACTGCCTTTTAAAATTATAAGAACAGTTCATGTTTATTCTTAATGAACATAGTGGTTCGCACAGAGAAGACATGAACACAGCTCATTACGCAAAGGAGGAGCAGACACAGCTCATTCTCCCCTCAGCAGAGGCCGCTGCCGGCTGGCGGAGCGCAGCCCAGGGCTCTGATGCGATTGTCATCATTTCGAGGTCGTGCTGAACACAGTGCTTCGTGACCTTTTTCTGGCCATGGCAGTAAGGCCGGGGTGCGGACAGTGTACAAGCAGAGCTCCGCGCTGTTGCTGCCGGCTGGCGCGAGCTGCAGCTGTGCAGCCAGGTGTGGCTGCGTGATTATTTTTTTCTGTGGCATGACATGCAAGAAAGAAAAAAGCAAAGAGGAAAAGCGCTTGTACATACACACAACGCAGCGGCCCTCCGCCAGTCAGTGAGCATAGCGTGTTGCCTTGGCAACCACCCAAGGCCCCGGTGCAGGCGGAAGTGGGTCAAAGGGCCACCTTGGCAACCTGTCTGCGGGCTGTGGTGGGCAGCTTCTGGCCGCCAGCATCGCTCGCTCGGTCGGCCTGCTCAGCTCCCTGCCAGGATCAGGAAGCGCCACTCGGGGAGGGAGACCTGAGGGACAGGGAGCGGTTAGGGAGGGGGCTGGGCGAGGAGGGCGGGAGCAGGTCGGGGGTTGCAGCATGGGTATCTGATGCTCGCAGCAGGGGAGTGGGCGCAGAGCCTCAGCGTTGTGCTCCATTTCTGCCGGAGAAGCGCAGCAGCCCAGCTTCTCCCACCGCGGGACTGGTTTCAGCTGCGTTTGTCACGGGTGCCTCTGAGCACCGGGGCTGCGTCAAGCTGAGAGTCGAGAGAAGCACTCAGGTGACGAAGCAGAGAGGGTCCTGGACCCCACTAGCATGGCCAGGGAGCCGGGAGGACACCGGGGCGGCAGACAAAGGTCAGCCCCTTGCCCACGAGAGAAAGATCATAGGTAGATGGGGATGGGAAAGCCCGGAGGGAACCCTGGAGGAGGGTCCTCGGCTGTATCCAAAGGGGAGGGGCCCTGCGAGGCAGAGAGGCCGGGCAGGGCGCGTGTCAGCAGGAGCAGCGTGCGCCAGGGACCGCGGGTGGGGCCCTGCGGGAGGTGAGCGGTGGATTCCGAGAAGGCCAGGAGCAGACTCCATGGCCCAGGTTCGGATTCCCCAAGCACAGAGGGAGCAGCTGGGAATTCCTGGCAGGAGCCTGATCATCCTGGCACCAACACTGGCTCCAAATTTGACCTCAGGCTCCAAGAGGAACCTCGTGAGCGGGAGGTGTGGGCCTGCACTCAGTGTGGATGCAGCATGCACTGCCCTGGGCCGGGGCTCGGGAGAGCTCTGGTATTGGTCTGGGGACCTGGGAAGGCTTCCTGGAGGAGGCAGCCTGGCGCTGCTGGCCCGGGGGGATTCCAGAGTGGGGCTGGGCCTGGCTCACTGCGGGCATGGGGAGGAGATGCCTTAGGGTGAACAGGCTGGGAACGAGGGGACCCAGAGGAGGGCTGTGCCACCCACCTGAGCAGCGCTGCTGGGGGCCTGGGCTGGAGCCCCTGTGCTGGAGCTGGAGCTTGGGGGCCGTCGCAGTGGCGGGGCCTGGGGAGGGGAGGCCGTGGCAGAATCTCCATGCAGTGGAGGCAAGGATAGGCCCAGCCCAGCTACCTGAAGCTGGCTAAGGGGCCAGGCTGGCAATGGAGCAAATGTGTGCCCGTGCAGGGGGCGGGGGCAGGAGGGGTCGGACAGGACCCAGGGCAGGAAGTGGCTCCAGCCAGGCGGGCCTCGCCTGAGCAAAGGCGGTGGCTCAGATGTGCGGTCAGCAAGCCCCAGGGAGGCTGGGGGGCCTGGTTGGGCTGGGCCCATGACACAGCCGGGGTCTGGACCTGTCCCCCAGCGTCCCAGAGCCCCAATGCCATGTATCTCAGTCTGTATCCTTCGTGTGCAAATGTGCTCAGTGTGTGTGTACAAGCGTGTGGGTGTGTGAGTGTGGTGGGGTGAGGGGATTGTGTGTGCTGTGTGTGTGTAGGTGTGCATAAGTTTGTGTGCAAACTTGGAAGTGTGCATAAGTAGGGAGTGTGTTTTAAATATGCACAAGCAAATGTAAGGGCAGTAGACGGATATAAAGTGTGGGTTACACAGATGTGTGCTAGTGTAGGAATGTGGTATGTGCCACCTACAACCTTAGACAGGCACATTCATACTCACAAATATAGGTGTGATGTGAAAACATGCAGTGTGTATTTGTATGTGTGCACATGAGCAGATGCACACACATCACACTAACATGCACGCAGACATGCGAGCACACACATATTCATATGAGCACATATGTATTTGCACATGACCAATGGACATGTGTATATCTGTGTGTTTACATGTATGCATGTGTGCACAGGTGTGTGTCTACATGTGTTGTTCTGCACACATGTGTGCTTGTATATGTATATATACGTGGGTGGTCTGCAAGCTTTGGCATGTGTTTGCATCCATGTACATATGTATATTTATGTGCATACTTGCACGGATACATACATGCATATGTATATTTTATGGGTGTGCATGCATATGAGCATTTGTGTGCGTCCAGGCACATGTGTTTTTATGTGTGCAAATACCCATGAATGTGTGTTTGAGTGTGTGCATACATGTCGGTGCATGTTTGCACATGCACCCGTGCACATTTGTGAACATGTGTGTGTTTTTATGTGCACCTCTGTGTATTGTTTGTGTAGGCATATCTGTGTATATTCACGTGTATGCACACATATGTGTATTTGTATGTCCGTCTGTGAGTTGCATTCATGCACTGAGTTTATTTGTATGCCTATACACACGCACAGGTGTACATGTGTGCATGCATGCGTGTGTGCATGTGTGTGCATGCATTTAGGTCGCAGTGTGAGTCTCACACCACCAGGCCCTGGAGCTGGCCATGCTCTGATTTTCTGCACTTTGTAGGGAGGGCAGCTGAGGCTGGGAGCAGGCATGTGCTCAAGGCCACACAGCCCTCGCGGCTGGTGGCTGGGTCTGCCCACGTACTGGACCTGAGCCCCTGAGCTCTGCCTGCCCGGTCCTGGCCCCTGGTGCTGACGGCCGACCTGCTGCAGCCCTGCGGCACTAGCCACGCCCCTCTCTCCTGGCAAGGAGCAGCCGCTGCCCTCGGGGACCCAGGCCCATCCCCTCCCTCTGCTGTTCATTCTCAGGCCAAGCTCGGTGATGAGATCCTGGACTACAGGGACTTGGCAGCTCTCCCCAAAAGCAAGGCAATCTATAACATCGACCGCCCGGACATGATCTCCTACTCGCCCTACGTCAGCCACTCCACGGGGGACAGGCAGAGCTACGGCGAGGTACGCCCCACCCCGCGGGGATGCCCGTGCCCGCAGGCTGCCCTGCAGGGGCATCACACCTCGAATGTGGCCCTTGTGGACAGCACATAGCCGATCCTATGGCTCCCCATGTCCCGCTGTCCCTCAGATGACCTGTCACCCTTAAGTAAATAATCCCCAGTGCTGTCTGACCACAGCCTCGCCCTGGCCCAGGGAGCCAGTCTGGAAGAGTTGTCCACCAGAGCAGGAAGTCCGGGGTGCACCATGTATAGTGAAAGGGATCCAAACCTCTGGATTTCCTGCACACGGCAGAACCTCATGAGCATGAAATGCACCACGTTCCTTTATCCGAACACCCTGGCCACAGCTTCCCAGCTCGCTGCCCGCTCCTGTGATTCGGGCCTGGTTGGGCCACAGACTGCCACCTGTCGATGTCCCTGTGGACAGTGCCCTTTGTCATGTGGTGGCTTCTTATTCGAAAATTTGGTCTTTGTTTTGGCTGCCTGGGATAGGAGGGATTGGCTCTGCTGCAAGGAGGGGTCTCCCGGGGCCTCCCAGATGCTGCCGTGAGTGGAGCGTCTCCCCTGGCTGCGTGGGGACCGATGTCCCCTCACCCAGCTCTTGCTCAGCCCCAGATGGCATTGGGTTCCAGGCCCCTCCTGTCCCTCAGCCCCTCGCTGGGCCAAGGCCACAGCTCTGTGGGTGGCGGGCAGTGCTCTGCTGTCCCTACGGCCAGTGTCTGTAGGGGAGGCTGGCAGGGTCCAACCCAGCAGCCTTTCTGCTGCCCCGAGAGCTGAGGGATGCGGGCTCCTGATGGGCCACACTGTGCCCTGCGCCACCAAGGGACCTCTTGGGAAAACTGGTCTCGTGGAAGCGGCAGGCAGGGACATTGCCTGGGGCTGTCCTTCCCGGGCATGCTGGCCACATGTCTCCAAAATCAAGCCTGCAGCCTGGTTTGTGTCTCTCATGTGGGGTCCCCTGTCTGGGTCTCAGGGCTGTCAGGTGATGTCGGCCCCATGTGGCCTGTTGCTCACCAGGTGACCCCTGCGTCCCTGTAACTGCCCAGTGCCACGGCACTAACAGGCCACTCTGTGTTGTGTCCACAGTCACCTCAGTTGCTCTCGCCTACGCCGACTGAGGTAATCCCCGCCTGCCCGCATGCTCGCCCTGTCTGCGCATGGCGCTATGCCACCCCTTTGTAAAGATGACCAGCGCTAGGAAGGGCCTCGGCCCTGGCCCCCGGGGCCGTGACGCCTTCCTCTCGTTGGTTATTTTTATGGTCATGTCTCACCCGCATGTCCCCTGGTCTGCAGCCCCGCCATCACGGATGCGTGGGCCAGGGCCACAGAGCTGGTGATGCTCGGGACTGTGGCATCCCTGGGTTAGTCAGGGCCGCTTGGTGCCCCACAGCAGGACATGTGGGTGGCGCTCTGGCCCTCGAGGACAGCACTCTGAGAGTGTCTAGCAAGCGGCCGTCTCACCCACGTTAGTCAGCAGTACTGGTGGTGGCTGCAAGTGGGACTCAGCGGCCGGAGTCCAGGGATGTCGCAGTAGTCAGGAAGAAAGGGAGGGTTGACAGGGCTCTGTGCGCTGTGTGCCCAGAGGAACTTCTGTGATCTGCCCCAGTTACCAGTGGAGAAACTGAGGCACGGGGAATCAAATAACTTTCCCAGGGTCACAGCTGTAGGAAGAAACAGGAGGGTTCCCTGGCCCCTCGTTCCAGACCACCTGCCGCAGGAGCTGGCCCCTGGCTGGTGTCACCGTGGGCAGTCTGTAAATGCCAGACCTGAGTGGCCTGTCCCCTGGCTCAGCACTGCAGCGGACTCTCCAGGTGTGGTGTCGGCTGCACCTACGCAGGGCTCTGGGTCTGCCCGAAGCCCAGTCTCGCTGCAAAGCCCCTCTCGGGCTGGGACCCCAAGCTCGACGCCGCAGCCAGCACTCAGCGGGAACTGCACAGCCCAAGAGGGTCACTGTGGCCCGCGGTCTCAGCCACCCTAGCTGGGCCCCACAGGCCCCCCTCCTCATCCTAGGGCTCCCCAACCCAACCTTCAGTGGTTCCAGAAGGACAAATCTCCTCACCTCCCACGCCAGGGCCCTCCTCTTGCTTCTCGTAGCTTGGGAGAACCAGAATGTTCTGCAGAACCTCTCCGGTCCCCTTAGAAACAGCCCCAAGAGGCTCAGGAGAAATGGGCATCATGCCAGCCCTGCTGCTGTTCAGCGGCCAGGAAGGGCTGTCTCTGCCTAGAGCACCCTGGGACCCAGGTGGCCAAGCAAACTGCAGGTGGCCGGCTCAGACCAGGCTTCTCAGCTCGGGACAGCTGGTGGCCGAGTCCAGGCCGGCGGACAGGACACCTGTAAGGTGCACATCAAGTGCTGGGGCCGTCCAGAGGGTGCCCAGGGTGGAGAGGGACAGCCCGGGGACAGTTGCTAAGGCCAGAGTGGGGCAAGTACCTCAGGGAGGACAGGCAGGAAGGTCCCTGAGGAGACCTGGAGGAGGACGAGGCGGACTGTGGGCGTGGAAGCCTCCTGTGGGAGGCCAGGTCAGACGGGCTGGGAAGCAGTGAGGGCCAGATCAGTGAGGAACAAAGCAGCAGCAGCCCCCCTTCAGCTGGATGCCAGGCTAGGTGGGTATGACCCAGGCCACCATGCCACACTGCTGCAGGCCGGCCAGCCTGTGGCCCCGTGCCGGGTGCCATGCCATCTCATGCCGCTGCTGTGACTGCTCCTTGCAGCGCCCCCTCCTGCGCGGATGGGGCCGTGTTGTGTGTGCTTGCAAGGTTCCTGCATCTGGGCTTCTCAACCCAGGAGGGGCGCCTTCCGCCCTCCGACGTGGCCTCAGAAGGAGTCCCCAGGGGTGGGGCACCTCAGTGGTTCTCAGACAGTGTTCCGAGGAGCCCTGTGTGGCAGGGAGGATTGGGCGGAGGGGAGGGCCAAGTCTCCCCCCTCCCGCAAAGTCCCAGCTCACAGGACTGGCAGCAAGGGGAGGGGTGGGTGCCGGTGGGCACAGGGGCCGTGCTCAGCACCGCCACCAGCCCAGCTGGCTCCTCAGGTGCTCCCAGGCAGGTGCAGGACTTCCGTCTTAGGGCCAGGTTGAGTCCCCCACTGGGGTCGCGGAGGCGAGCACTGAGGCGGCGGGCGAGGGTGGGCAGTGCCCAGGAGGCCAGGGTTCACCAGCAGTGACTTCCCTCCCAGGGGGATCAGGACGACCGGTCCTACAAGCAGTGCCGGACCTCCAGCCCCAGCTCCGCCGGTTCCGTCAGCCTTGGGCGCTACACCCCGACCTCACGGTCGCCCCAGCACTACAGCCGGCCAGGTACTGAGACTTCTGGTTCCTCGGGCCCCGGGTGGACCTGGGCTCCTTGCTTTTGCTTGTCTCAGGTGGCCTCCACGGGCAGCCAGAAACATGGGGTGGGATCGCCAGTTGGGGGTGACAGAGAGCCCTTCCTGTTAGCAAAGTGAAGGTGCAAAGCAGCTAGTGCAGAGCCATTCTGTGGGCTGGAGGACACGCACACCCTGGGAGGGGCATCTTGGCGGGCGCCCTGTGAGCCCTGAGTGCTGAGCCTGTGTGCTAGGTGCGAAGATGTCAGGGAAGCAAAAGCACAAAGGCAGGAGGCCGGACAGGAGCCGTCCCCAGGGCAGGTGCGGGCTGCAGAGGAGAAACCAGTGGCTCCAAAGAGGAGTCCGAATGTCTGTATCACTTCACCAGAGACAGCCCTCCCCGCCAGACTCTGCCCGCTGAGATCCGCGGAGGGACCTCCCACCTGTGCCACCTCCTCCCTGCCTGCCCCACTGTGCACTGTTCCCCACAGCTGTGCAGCTCTGCCCCGAGCCTGCCAGGGTGTCAGGGACGGTGTCCGCGGGCACTACCTTCTCAGTGACTTTTCAGGGCGGCTTCCTTCCTGGCCAGCTGTGCATGACCCATTCACATTCATGGGCTACAGCTCTCATTTTTGCAAATTGTGGAAAAATCAAACCCATTCATTTGCAAAGTCATTTCACGGGCTCCTTGCAACACATGCAGTACATCTTGCTCAGTAAGGATTAAGAGAGCGGGTCAGTGAATGAATGGGTGAGGGAATGAATGAATGGATGTGTGAACGGGGAGTGAATGAGTGAGTGCATGGTGAATGCGTGAATTAATGAATGGGTTGTAAGTGAGTTAATAAATGAGTGAATGAATGAGCAAGTGAACGCGTGAACGCGTGAATGAGTGAATGACGCGTGCACAGGGACTGAGTGAGTGAGCAAATGAGTGAGCAATTGAGTGTGTAAGCAGATGTGCAGGTGGGTCAGCAAGTGGACGGCAGTGGCTAACTCCCCAGAGCCCTTCTCCCAAGGCCCCTCTGCTGCCTGCCCTGGCCCCAGTGTCACAGGAAGGCTCACCTTGCCGACTTCTGGGCCTAGCACTAAACCCCAGAGAGCCAGGACCATGTTGTGGCTGGTGTGGCCCATGAGGATGTCGGGAGCAGACATGCCATGGGGGCCTTGACCCCAAGGACCCACCTAGAGTGGAGCACCAAGGCCTGGCAGCCCCAGGCCCGCCACCCGGGGCCTCCTGAGGGCGGGTCGCCTCGCACCTGCGGGACATGGTCCGGAGCCTCCTGGGGGGTCCCCTTCGGGTGCCTCGAAGGGATGTGCATGTCTGGAGAGAGGAGGCCCAAATGTTCCTAGTGGAGGGGGACTAGGAAGATTTGGGGGCTTTGTGCTGGCTGGCGAGCCGGGCTGACTGACCTGCTCTCTTGCCCGCAGCTGGTACTGCAAGCGTCGGTACCAGTAGCTGGCTCTCCCTGTCCCAACACCCAAGCCCTACTTCCGTGTTCCGACATCATTACATCCCCTACTTCCGAGGTAAGGCTCCGAGCTGTGGGCGGGGGGTGCCTGTCCCGTGTCGCGCATGGCTTCCTGGGCCTCTGTCTCATGCCGTGTCCCTCGCTGTGTGTGTCTCGTGCGTCTGGTCTGTTACTGTCGCTGTGTACGTGTTCCTGGAAGGAAACGCTGGTGCCCAGCACAGAGTCGCAGGCAGAGGGCACAGGGTATAGGTGAGGACGAGGATTTCTCCCCAGAGCCCTTCCACCCCCTGCCCGCGCTGGCCCTGTGGGGCTGGCAGTGGTGGTGTTGGGGCGGAAGCTGCGATGGAGAGGAGCCGTGATGCTCACAGTCTCCAGTGGGCAGGGCCAGGCCTCACTCTGTGGCTGCAATGCCTGGGTCTGGCCAGGACACAAACCCGCCCGCCGCACACGTCCCTGCACAAACACACGGACACAGGTTCGCCCAGCCTCATGCCTTCCTCAGTGTCGAGGACTGAACTACGTCCCCAAGCCCAGTGTTACAGCGCAGACCTCCTGGGACTGTGCTCGGAAAGAGGGCGTTAGGGGCAGTGCCCCAGGTTAGATGAGGTCGTAGGTGGGGCCTGTGTCCACCAGGGCTGAACTCTTTGAGTTCCGGCTGAGACCTAAAATGTGCCCCACAGAAGCTCATGGTGTTGAAAGCTCGGTTGCTGATAGGCTGTGGAGGGGGCGGGATCACAAGGCCTCTGACTCCATCGTGCTGGGCACACTGATAAAAGGTGGAACAGGAGGTGTGGTCGAGGTAAGGGAGTGGCCGTGACGCATGAAGGGAAGGGCCGTGGCCCTTGGGGACTTGGCTGTCCTGGCCCCTTCCTCACTGGAGCTCTCACCTTGTGCTTCCGGCTGCCACGAGGTGAGCCGCTGTCCCTGCCACGCCCTTCCAACACACTGCTTCTGCCTCACCCCGGCCTAAGACAAGGAGCTGGCTGACCATGGACTGACACCCTGACAACCTGGAGCCGAAATACCCCTGTCCCTTACAGAGGGTTATAACAGGGGCGTTGTCACAGTGAGGAGAGGCTGATCAAGACACCATGTAAGGAGAGCAAGTGGCCGAGAGATCTGAGTGCACACACGCAGAGCAAAGGCCGTGTGAGAGGCCGCCAGCAGGCCAGGAAGACAGGAAGCAAGGCCTTGTGGGGCGCACACCTACAACCTCTGGCTGCCACTTCCAGCCCCTAGAACTGCCAGGAAACAGGCGCTGTTGACGGTTCCACTCTGTGGTGTTCGGTTGCGCAGCCTCGCAGATGAAGACACCCCAGAAGGAGGCTGAGCATCAGAGGCCATGGCTATGGCACAGCTGTTGGCCCTTCATCCCTTGCCGCTGCAGGCTGGCGCAGCCCGGGCTCTCCTGTCCTGGGGAATGGGGCAGACGCAGCGGGATGCTCCCATCCCTGAGGGTCGCCAGAGGGGTCCTCTCTGTCCTCTGTGTGTCCATCCTTGCTGCACCCGTGCATCCCTGGAGAAGACCCTGGGGTGGGTCCTGCTGTCTCGCCCTTCTGGGTGGCCCGCAGTGCTGGTCCCTGGCACCGACTCTCTGGGGAAGCACAAAGCCCATCACGGTGCATCCCCAGAGCAGGAGGCACCTGGGCCCTTGCCATGTGTCACTCGGGGCCCACGGAGGAGACGCGAAGGAAACTGGTCTGGGCTGGAAGAGCCTTGTGAGAGCACCCACAGTGAAGGCACAGGCCCAGACCCCAACCCCGCACACTCAGGAGCCAGTCACCCAGGTTGGCACCAGCCGCCTCCTTCCTCGGCCCCGCAGGAAGAGTGTGCGGAGGGCCCTCCTGCCTGAGGAGTGAGCACGGAGGCCGCTGCGCCACAGCCAGCCCCACGTGGGAGGCGCTGCCCTGGGGTCCGTTCTGGGTGGGGTGTGGGCACTGCCTGGGGGTGGCTTTGGGACTTTGGTGCCATCTCCTTGCTTTGGCCACTGGCACCTTTGCTTAGCGACCAGGGCAAGCCCCCCTCACCTCTCAGGACTGGATGTGGGGTGGCCAGTACTCGCAGCTCTGCCTCCTGCCCAACTTCCGGGGCCGCCTGTGACCCGGGAGCCTCTGCTTGTCCCAGAACCTGCCCTGCAGGGGACCAAGGTGCCGTGAGAAGTCCCTGGTCCCGATCAGACTCAGACTTCCACCCCACCCTCACTCAGGAGTCGGATCCACCCCTCAACACCGGGTCCACCCTGAGGCCACCAGGGAGCCCTGCCCCCCCTTCCCCGTCCGGTGCACCCCGCCTGCCCTCCGGGGAAGCCCTTCCCGAGGCTCCCCGGGCAGCCTTAGCATCTTAGACACTGCTCAGTGCAGCCCCACTAGAAGATGCCGTGGGTACCGCACTCTCAAGCACAGCCACACCCTCGCCCACCAGCACTTTCCCACCTGGCCACCTGTGGGCAGCCCTGGCTTCTCTCGCCTGTTTCAGACCGGCTTCTTTCGCGTCTCCTGCCTAGGGCCACCCTCCCCCAACACCTACGTTCACTGGAGTGCTGGTAGCAGTCACTTTTACTTTAGTGTGAGTTTCGGTCCCTGGGACTTGTGAGCTTTAACCGTGACCTCTCACTTAAGAGGCAGGAACCAGGGACAGGCGAGTATGGGGTGCCACAGGGACTCAGCACCTCTGAGGGTACTCGTGTGGGCAGCCCCCGCTTGCTGATGGGTGAGCCTTCCCCACACCCCATGCCCCAGGCTGGCAGGGAAGGAGAAGCCCCTGAGCCTCAGGCCTAGCCGTCTCCCTGGCTGTGAGCGGCCCCTCCGCTAGCTCTCCCCTCCTCGCTGTAAGCCCCGGCCCTGGCCTCCAGGGGATGGTTGTGCTCCACGATGCAGCAGGAAGAGCCACTGAGCACCAAGGATGTGGCCCGCAGGACTGGAGCAACAAAGTGAATGCCGTCATCCTGGGTGTCAGCTACGTGACGTGGTGTCCGTGAGCCCGCCTGCAGGAAAGCAAGCCTGGGATAGACAACGGGGCATGGCGGGGAAGGGACGAGTGTCTGCGCAGAAGCACTCGGTGTGTGGCAGCGCCATCGAGGGGGCTGCCCGAGCCCAGCCCCACATGTGGACTTCCTCCCAGACGGGAACAGAGGAACAGCGTGGCCGAGACACCGGTAGACGTCGTCCCCAGCCTGTGTCACTGCCAGCGCCAGCGCCCTCAGTGCCATGGGACGAGGGGAGCGTCCCCACTGTGGTCTTCCTCCCCGAACCGCAGCCCAAAGTCCCCGAAGGGAAAGTGTTGGACGGATGATTCCAGGTCAGGACGCTCCACCGGATCCCTGGCCCGCGCCTCAGTGCGGTCACCATCGTCAGCACCGAGGAGACTGTCACCGTCATAGCCAAGGGGAGTGCGGAGGCACGGGGCTGGTGCGATGTGCTCGCTGGGTGGGCTCCCAGGACCAAAGAGGACATTAGGAAAACGGATCAGATCCACATAAAGCGTGCGTACGAGGAGCCAAGGCTAGCGGCGGGACTGGGGCAGCAGTGTGCGGGACCTCCTGTGTGCCCCAAAGCTGTTCTACAGTTTTAATCGAAACCTTTATTTCAATTAAGAAGACAAAGGAGGCTTCTGCAGTGGCCTGGGCTGCACACCCACCACAGGTCTCACCCGGGCAGAGGGTCACCAGGCCCACCAGCGGATGCCCGGAGCCCTGGACATGACCCTGCCCAGTGGAACCACGCACTGTGCCAGAGCAGGCTCTGTGCCTGGCACTGTCACTCACCTGGCGAGGTGCTCTCACAGCCGCAGTGACATCTGTGTCCTGGGCTTCTGGCTCCAAGGTCCAAGGAGGAAGCTGGCCTCAAGTGGGGAGCGAGTGCCTCAGGGCCGGCACGGGTGACTGCAGCTTCGGGGCTGTTGTGGGTGCCCTGAGAGGACACGGGGTCCCGGTCTGTGAGCACTGGGCTCAGGCACAGCCTCACGGGGACAGGCAGGCGAGGAAGGAGAAGGGCGGCTCTGCAGTGGCTGGGCCTTCCTAGGGCTCTTGGCCCAGCAGGTACCCGGGCAGGGCAGTGCCGTGGGGCCAAGCAGGCGCGAAGGTGGCAGGATTCAGTGGCCACTGTTGAGACCCCACCAAGTCACCTGGGCCACCAAGGCTGTGCCTCAGTCTCCCCTTGGTCTCAGCCCTCTGGACAGCTGATAAGAGCCGTGGGGGCTGCAGAGACCATGTGCGCCGTGCAGACAGGGGGTGCTCCTGAGACAGCCGTGTGCACAGGTGTGCAGGGCGCGCTCCTGACAATGGGGCTGCACAGGTCAGCAGTCTTCTCTGGCGCATGGTGGGGTCCTTGGCCCCCGCGAACTTCAGATTGAAAGGCAGAACGGGGTTCCGCATGGTGTGAGCGCTGTCAGCTGTCCACGCTGAGGCTGAGCTGAGCTCTTGTTAAAGTCCTGTTTCTGTTGAAGTCCCGCTTCCCTCGTGTTTGCTGCCCTTGGGCAGCCGTGGTTTGTTTCCTCCTGTGTGGAACCGTCTCCCTGGTGCAAGGCCCGGGCTGCCACCAGGGGGCGCAGGTGCCCGTGGACGGCAAGGCCCAGAGGTTCTGCGCAGTTCTGGAGGGAGGCGCCCAGGTGCTTGCAGGGAAGCCAGTAGTCCCCTCTGTGAGCCCAGCTCCCCACCAGCTGCTGGCTGGGGTCAGCTCACACCAAGTGTCTGCCTGTGGGCACTCCTGCCACCCCAGCGGGCTCCCCCTGCCAGGCAAGGGCTCCCTCTGTCCCTGCAAGCAGCGTCTGTCCAGCCCACAGGGTCCCAGCAGGTCCTCTTCCTCGTGCTCATCACCGAGGGAGTTCCATTCCATGGTGAGGTCACTCAGGGTCCCGGGAAGGTCCCGATCCAGAGCACCCCCACCACCATGCTGTCCTGGGGCACCCTGGGGCTCGGGGGAGGTGATGGGCCTTGGGTGTTTTGCGTGACCTCACGCCTCCTCACGCGTGTCCAGTGCCGGCGCATCCCGCCCATCACGCCATCCTTACCTAGTTGCGGGGCCGTGGGTCTGCGGGGTGCTTGCAGGCAGCAGCCACCTGCACCATGACTTGCTCACCCAGCCTCCTCCCCAGAGCGGGAAGGGACTCCAGGCGGGCGGGGCTGGGAGACGTCCATCTAGTCTGCCCCCAAGTAGCCGTATTCAGGAACAGGACCCTGGGTGATACCGATTTTCTTAGTCTGTAGCTGATGGAATTACTCGGTGGCTTTTGGGCCGCTTCTGCCGCACAGTAGCGCAGGAGCCCTGTTCTGGGGCGGACCGGTGGGTCTCGCGGGAGGCAGCCTGCACCTTCGAGGTGGGCCAGACTGGCGGGCTTTGGTGCTGGTGAGTGTGCAGGATGCTGGGTCACAGCCAGCCACGGCACGGGGGCACTGGGCTGTGCACCCAGGATCCTGGCCTTTGCCAGGCGGTCCAACCCGATGCCCGGGCACCAGAGAGCTCTTGACCCCAAATTATGGCTCCTTTTTGGAACCACTGAACGCTCACCGCAAGGCTGGATTAACAAGTCATCGGTCCGGGCTGGAGAGCCTGGGGCATTGCACCTCGGTTCCCACTGAGGCAGCGGGCGTGGGCTGCTCTGCCGGGCAGGAGAGGGGCTCCGGGCCAGTCAGCCTTCGCTTGAGAGACTCTTTGCTCTTCCACCCTGCCCGCCGTTCCCACCACCTGTCTGGAGGCAGCGAAAGCGGCCGCAGCACGCCCAGCCTCTCCGTGCTCTCGGACAGCCGGCCGCCCTCCTCCACGTACCAGCAGGCGCCCCGCCACTTCCACGTCCCAGGTAGGTCCCTGCGCGCTGCCGCCGCGTCTCCTCGCCCCAGTCAGCGGAGCGGGCGCCGCGCCTGTCCGCACTCCGCAGTGTCCCACGATCCCCTGCCCTTCTCCTCAGCTCCCCCACACTCTGAGCTTGCGCACCCCCAAGCAGACGTGGGTGTGAGTCTCCCTACGTCCCCCACACCGGGGACGCGCCTGTCCGCCTGGCACGGGGCAGAGGGGCTGTCTGAGCAGGCTGCACCCTGCGTCCCGAGCCTCTCGCTTGCTGCCCTCCCTGGCCGCCTCTCCCTGCCCCCTTCGGATCGGGTGGCATCTGGAGTTGGGGTGCTTGCTCTCGACGGGGCTTCGGCCCCAGCTCCCTCCTGAGTGCCAGCTCCTTTCTGGTGCTTCTAAATCTGGGCAACTGAACGGTGCTGGCAGACGCCACCGGGCAGACATCGTTGCAGTTTGCTGCTCACCCTCCTGTTCTCTCCTTTTTGTTTCTCTCTTCTCTCCCAGACACTGGCGTAAAAGATAACATCTATAGGAAACCCCCTATCTACAAACAGCATGGTACGGTCGGAGGCGGCTGCTGTGGTTTGCCCTGCATGCCTGTCACCCCCTCGCTTCTGAATGCGTCCTTGCTGTGTCCCCACTGGTGTGGCGCAGGCGCGGGGCCCTCGCTGTCAGGATGCAAGCGTGCCGTCTCCAGGGGGTGCGGGGAGGCCCCTTTCCATAAGCGACAGCACGCGGGGCTCCGGGGGTCTACAACCCAGAGTTCCCGGTGACAGTACTCAGGGAGAAGCAGTCAGATTGGCCCCAGCCAAGATGGGAGGGGTGGTGGCTTCCCGAGTGATCACCAACTGGTCAAGGCCCGGTTTTCAGAAAACAGAACAGTCCCCAGAAACACTCACTTACACCTCAGTGAGGACGTAGGTCCTGTGTTTGAGAATTTCTGGCAGCAGCACACAGTGCCTGGCCTTCAGTCAAAGGGCTGTCTTGCCCAGTGGAGGTGCTGGGCAGCAAGGCATCCCCTGGCCCTTGGCTCTGCCTTCCCGCTCCGTGTGAGCACACCCGGGACAGGTGTGGAGGAGACAACTGCCTAGGCCACAGAGCAGGAGACAGAAGGAGCTCGGTCCGCATTTCTGAGGTTGGGCGCTTGTTGCTCTGCCATCTGAGCCTCTGCTTCCTCATCTGCAAATCAGGCCCTATTCCCTCCGCCCTGCCCTTTGGCGGGGCTGCCTGGAGAACCTGGTGACATACCCGATGTGGAGACGCAGCCCAAACTCCAGCGTGCCGCGTGCTTGAGCGGCTTGTGCGGCTGGCTGTGCCGTTGCCAGGGCAGGGAGGAGGGTCCCTCATATGGGACACGCTCACCTGGGTCACCAGGGGAACGGCCAGTGGGTGTGCACTTCAGGGGGACTCCTGTGACCATTCGTTTGTGCCCTGGCCACCTGGCAGATCCACAGTTCCATTTTGTGAATACGGGCCGACGGTTCTGCTTTCACGGCCTACCTGACGGCACCGGGCTCTGGGCTTTGAGCAACGCTCCCTCTTCCCAGGCGAGAAAGGATGAACTGATAGCTCATTCTCCAGAGCCCTGGGAGGAGCCCGAGTCTGAGAGGGGTCGGAGGGGGTGGGTGAGTTAGACTGTTGGACTGCCCGGGCGAGCACGCTCGTGTTATGGGGGAAACTGAGCCCCAGGCAGAGGAAGGGGCATCCCATTAAGTGCCCCTCGTGGCACTGTGCTGGACAGCCTGTGTGGAGCCTGTGTGGCCTGCAGTCCTAGAGCCCGGACACAGGTGACCGTGGCCCTTTTATTGAGCACCGGCAGCCCTGTGTGTCGGGCCGGCACCGCAGATGTGCGATGGGCACTCCTGGTGCAGGAGAGGACGGCCCCTGGGGAGCAGGGACAGAAGATCAGCTGGGAAATGCCACCACCCTGGCAGGCCAGCCCCGAGACAGTGCCCAGCGTCCGGTCCTCCACCTGCGCCCCTAGGGGAAGGTCAGGTGTTCTGTGTCGTCTTTGCATTTTAAAAGAACTTCTGGATATAAACATGTCAGAGGCAACATCACTCATTTGTATAAAAAAAAAGAAAAAGAAAAAACCCCGAGCAAGTGCCAGAGCTCTTTTATCGTTCCTGAATTTTGTTACATCAGTTCTTTCATGAAGTAGATCTTATTTCCCGCTCTGTCTCCCCACCTCCCCAAGTATTTGGCCGTGCCCTGGGGACAAACACCAGCAAACTCTGTCCCTGGCGTGCACGTAGGTGGGCCATGTAAACAGTGTGTAGCTGGGCACAGCTTGACGTGTTAGCGTGGGGTGTGCGTGACCAGGCCTCCTTGGAGAGCCCTCGGAAGGAACGCGGCATGTGCTCGGTTCCAGCCTGTGCGACCCGTGAGACATTTTGTGGTTAGAAGACTTTCCACATCTGGGTGGCTTAGATTCTGTTGGCAGTGTGCATGTGTGTATGTGTGTGTGTCTGCACGTGTGCATGTGTGTGTGCGTGTGCCTCGGTGTGAGGCCTGCACCCAGCTCCACGCAGTCTGGGAATCTGACCCTGCAGTGCCCTCTTGGGAGCGGGGAGACAGCTCAGGCCGGAGCCGCACCCTTCCCATCCCCAGCGCCACCAGAAACCAGCCCTGGGAGGGGAGGTTGAATTTCCGGCTGATTAGCTTAGGACGATGGAAAGATGAAAACATAAGGTCCTCTTGGCCAGCGTGTTTCCCTTCCAGCCGTGTCAAGCCCGCAGAAGCGTCTTCTTTCCCCAGGAGCTTTACTCCTTCCTGAGGCCTGCGTCCCCTTCCTCCCCGGGGGACTGGACCTCGGCTGTGGGGGTGGCCGGGCCTCCAGGCTCAGGGTGGGCAGCTCGTGGCATTAGGGACAAGGATAATTAGCGTCACCTAGCAGCCTCCTCATGTGGCACAGATGATGCAGAGGGAGTCTGGTGCTAGGAGCCGAGGTGGAGAGGAGCGGTGGCAGTGTGTGGACGGCGCAGGTGGACCCCCCACAGTCCCCAGGAAGTGCGATGGCCGCAGAGCACCGCTCCTGGCCGCCTGCATGCCCAGGGCCACCCACCTGCATGGGACAGCGGCAGTGACAGCTTGGGGTGTGACTCATCCCTTAGCCCGTCAGCCCCCACTGCGCACAGGAATGAGCTGCTCCTCCTGTGTCTCTGGGACACGCTCGCTGTGGTTTGGGGCTCATTTCTTGGGATGCAAGGAAAGGGAGGGGACAGCAAGCTCTGCACCCAGGAAGGCATTGTGAGGCCTCGCACTCACCTGGGGACAGCTCTAGCAGAGGTCCCTGAGGGCACAGGGAGTAACAGAAGCCTGCTTTCCCCAGAGGGCTTCTCAGGGCGCAGGGTGCTGTGGCCCATGTGCTCCAGAAGGCGCACGAGACAGCACGCAGACAGAGGGCCGCTCACCAGCAGGGAGGAGGCGGAGGCAGGGACGGGGGCCTGAGTCACCAGCACCACTTTCCTTTTCTTCTAATGCCACCGTCAGTCCCGGCGTCACCAGTGAGCAGGTGTCCCGGGTCCTTAGACAAGGAGCCAGGGGTCGGGGGGATGACGTGACCTTCGTTATCCAAGGAATATTTTCTAAGCATCTGCTAATGTGCCGGGCTCTGTCCAGTGCTGCAGACACACGGGTGGCCAAGCACAGCCCCTGCTCCCTGGAGCTGAGATACCAGTGGGCCAGACACAGTACACACCACACACACACACACACACACACACACACACACACGTTCATTTTCTCTCTCTCTCTCTCTCTCTCTCTCTCTCTCTCTCTCTCTCTCTCTCTCTCTCTCTCAATGTAATTCTGGTTTAATTTCAATTGCAGAGGCAGGCCTGGCTCCCGGAAGACTGGGTTAGCCATGCTGGTGGGTCTGTTCCTCAGAAGCCAGGTCTGGAGGCTGAGGGAGGAGCAGACCCTACGGCTCCTGCAGAGCCTCAGAGCAGGGGCAGTGCCCTGTGTGGCCAACGCCTGAGCCCCACACTACCTGGGATCCTGCAAGTTCCTCCCCTGGCCAGAGAGCACCTTCTAGGCACTGGCTCCGGGCCTGGCCCCCTGGTCTCACCTGAGACACCCATGACAGCAAGAGTGGAGGCAGAGAGCTCAGTGAGGCCCGCAGTGGAGACCCTCTGAGAGCTGCAGAACCCAGCTGCCACCCTAGGATGGTGGCCAGGTTGGCCCACAGCTCTGCCAACCCCAGTCATCCAGGGAGTCCCGGAGGCCAGAGGTGTCTGTGTGTCAGCACCACCAAGATTTAGCTGGGTGGGCCTCCCTCGGGAGCCCTGGGCCTGAGGTGCTGCGTCCACCTCACGGGAACCTGGAGGCACACAGGCACGCTGGCATCTCCCGGCAACGGTTCACTGAGGACACAGGGCCCAGGGACGTGGGTCATGGCAGGCGAGGCTGGGCGATGTGGCCCGGAGTCCTATAAGGCACACATCTGCCAGGAAGAACCAAGTAGGTCATCCTGGGCTCCAGGCAGACCAGACAGGCTTGGGCTACCAGCTGTGCGCCCTCACCCTGCATCCCAGCCTGCTCCTCTCTGAGTGAGGTCCACACACCTGCTCTCTGCTAACACCTTTAGCACATGTTTCCCCAGACCGCTGCACAGGGCCTGTCCCCTTAGGAGGTATCAGCAAGCACTCATCAGATGCCTGGTATCATGAGAGCACCTCTGAGCCGAATCGCTACCCCATGGAAGCATCCAGGAACCTCCTGCTGCTGTTCGTCTCCCTGGCCCAGGAGCTTCTGGAGGGCAGGGCTGTGTCTGAGTTGTTTGCATGCCCCATACTCAGGATGTACAAGTGCACAAGGAAGGGGAGAGGTGAAGGGTGGAGGGCCACGTGGTGCACAGAGGGCAGATCAGGGAGGAGGCAGTAGGCAGGAGGCTGCGTGATGAATGGATGCATTGGGGACAAGGGAAGGGATTGAAGTTGACAAAGAGAAGGCTGAATGGACGGGTGACTGGGTGAGTGGATGGCTGAGTGGATGACATCAAAATAAGAAGGTAGATAGATGGGTGGGTGGATGGGTGGACGGGTAAGTGGGTGGATGGTTGGATGAATGAATGGAGGAGCAGCAGGTGGATGAGCAGATGGATGGATGGGTGGGTGGATGGAAGGATGGATGGGTGGGTGGGATGAATGGATGGATGGATGGGTGGGTGGCTGAATGGGTAGGTAGATAGGAAGTTAAAAGTGTAGATGAGGAAGTGGATAGAAATGAATAAATATTTAAATGGTTGCATATATAGATGTTCAGATTATGAGCTTGAGTGTGGGAAGGAGTGAAGTCCAGCCTGTTCTGTATCCAGGGAGGAAATAAGAGACTCTAACAAAGATTCCCCAGGGATACAGGGGTCCCCATGGCAGGTGGATCCCCGGCTCAGGAGCTGTTGGTGTGACCCAACACCTCACTCTCTCTGGTTGTCCTGAACTGGTCTGTCTCTTCCTGGTGCTCTAAGACAGTGTGCTATGAATTAGCTTCAGCGTAGGCCTCGTGTTTATTCCCAATTTCTTCTGAGCCGTCTGTTATTCTGGTACTCACACTGGTTCTCTCCTGTGATTCTCATCACCTGGAAGCATCATTTACCCACTTCACAGATCAGGAAACTGAGGCTCAGAGCTGCTGAGGAAGCAAGCTACCAATGTGGCAAAACACCAGTGTCCACATGCTCCTGCCCAAGCGCCTCGTTCCCAAGAGAACCCATTGTGCGCTTTGTGAGCTGCCGCCCTCGGTTCTGAGACGCCCTTGCTTGCCTGGCTGTGCAGGGTGGTGTTTGCTGGGGGACCTGGCTGACTGAGCAGTGTCCCCTCCCGGCCTTTGTGGGGCCATCTGGAGCCCTGCAGTAGCTCTGCAGCCAGTCATGCGGCCTCTCCATTGTCCACGGCTGTGTGGAGGTCTTGAGACAGGACCCCAGGTCCCCCTGTCTGAGCTCTGCAGGCTGGGATTTCACATCCAGAGAATGCTTCCACTGCTTCTGAACTTGCAGATTAGTCAAGGGTGGCTGGCCACTTCCAGGTCTCCCGGCTTGGCAGGAATGTGGCTGGATTATTTTGTCCAGCAGACTTGGTCCCAGGGGCTTTGCCTGCATGGATGGTGCTCTCAGACCTCTAAGTCCCCACTGGCCTGCTCTCCCCCAAGAAGTGCTGGCCAGCCACCGGGAGCCAGGGGTGACGTATGGCCACACTGGAGGCCACTGCTGCCCAGCAACAGCCATTGTCCAGGCAACAGGAGCACCAGCACTGCCGGGCATGGATCAGCCTCCCCACTGTGGCCTCCTCGGCAGACTCACCATCCACTCGCCTCTGGGAGCAGAGAGCAGGATTTTTTATTTTCACCTTGAAAATTCCTGTCTCTTCTGGGGAGCTGTGAAGCGGGGAAATGTCCGTGTCTCCAGAATGGAAGTGCTCAGCCTTCCATTTTGGCCTTATCTTGTCAAGGTCCTGTAACCCAATCCCCAATGTCCAAGCTCTCTGGCCTGGTGTCAGTCTTGTCCTTGGTGGTGCAGGAGGCAGGGCGCTCCAAAAGACTGGCAGGGTCCAGCCCACCCCTGGCCGCAGGTAAGAAGCCCAGCCCTGCGGGCGTGTCCCACCCAGACCCAGGTCTGCTCTGCAGGCTGGGGAAGGAACCCGGTTCTGTTCAGTCATGCCATGCTTGGGGCTGGCGCAGGGTCTCTGCATGCTGCGGACTGGGTGCGAGACCTCAGCATGCCGTGTGGGGTTTGTTGGCTGGAGATCAGGGCAGCCCTGCTGGGCGACCTGCCCGGGATGCTGCATGGAGTATTTTGGGTACACCAGCTGTGTGTTTTGTTGAGTTCATTTCCCCTTGTAGTTTTCGTTTCTTTGTTGCATGGACTTTGCCCGGTGACGTAAGTCACACCATGTTCTGTGTGTTGTGGGCAGCGAGGTTGGGGAGACGGGAAGGACTTTAGGCACAGACTGCCAGCGTCCCCATCAGCCTCTGTCCCCACTAGTCTGTGACCTGAGCAGGGCATGTCCCTGAGACTCGGTCCGCAACTTGGGACGCCGTGCGAAGCCCTTACCTGCAGGTCTGGTGCGGAGAAGCAGCAATGTACACAGAGTGCCTGGCTTGTGTCTGGCATGTCCCTTCCGTGCTCCACCTGCAGCACAGGGTAGCATGACTCGGCTCTTGAAAGTGTCCGCCACATGCCAGGCGGCTGCCCCTGAGGATGCGGTGTCCCGGTCTCCGGCTGTGGGTAGACTGGAACGAGGCATCGCTCCTCCACCTGCGGCTCTGCCCTGGTGTGCGGCCCCCGCCTGGCGTCTTCCCCAGGGCCTGCAGCCCCTAAAAGGCCCTGGGCCCTCAGCTTCCCTGGGCCCTCAGCCCCTAAAAGGCCCACATACTATTGACCTTTTCCTGTTTCATTTTCCATTTTTGACTATAATGATAAAGGAGGAGACCCAGAATTAATGGTGCATTGCTTCTACAAATTGATGTTTCCCTTCCAGCCGCGAGGCGATTGGACGGGGAAGATGGAAGCTTCGACCAGGATAACAGGAAGGTAATTGGGAGAACAGGTGTCACACCAGGAGCCCCACAGCCGTGCTGGCTTTCCCCCACTGCTCCTTAAGGTCCTGGAGGCCGGCGGTTGGGGCGCGTCCACCACCCCTTCTGATACTCAGGACGAGCCTTCTGCCCACATCCTGGCTGGGTGTCGGGTAACCTGGCTGTGGCTCCGTAACTGAGGAGGACTGTGCCAAAGTGCATTCTGGGGATGACGGCTCTAAAACAGGTCGGCTTGCCCAGCAGGGTCCAGAGCTTGTGGGCACAGCTCTCACCAGAGAGGGTGCAGGTGTGAACGGTAGGCGTGCTGTGCTCCAGCGGTGCCATTTGGCCCCTTGCCCTCCCTGAGCCTCAGTTTTCTCGTCAGTAAAAAGGAGCAGCAGCATTTACCCCAAGTGTCCCCTATCCTCTGGTCCGCCTGCATGGTGAGACTTTTACTAAAAGCTGGGCCTTGCTCACACAGCTTTCTCACAGCAGGACCTGCTTGTAGGTTAAAGGAGGATGCTAGAAGGCTCCAGAGACCCATTTTCACTCTGCAGGCGACCTCCAAGTTCACGTGGCTTTTTCTCCTCTGCAGAAGACCAGCTGGCTGCTGCTCAAGGGGGACACTGACGTGAGGACGAACTCTCCAGACCTGGACAGCCAGTCTCTGTCGCACAGTAGCGGGCTGGAGCGGGAGCCGCTCCCGAGAGCGCCCGGAGACAGCTTCTACTCACGTGAGTGGCTCTTCTGAGCCGGGGGCTGCGCCGCGCCGGGGCCTCCAGCATCGGGACCAGCACTGCACAGCCCCCTGCATCTCAGCCTTGCTCCTTAAAACACGTGAGAGCGAGGTGGCCAGTGAGGGCAGCCCAGACAGGAGAGCGAAGGCCTCGGCCCTCGCCACATCCCCCGCCAGATGAACTAGCCGGTGTGCACACAGTGGCTGAGGCACAGGTCTCCTGGTGACGCTCCCAGAGCTGGCAGGCAGGGGCCTTGACTTGTGCTAGGGAAGCGCTCTCAGGGCCAATTCCCCCAGAGCGGATGGGGCATGGTCTGGGGGTGAGTCCAGGTCTGGAGTTGGCCACAGGGTGCCCTGGGTGAGGCGCTGGAGAGGCCCAGGCGACACGGCCACCATTGCGGCCGCTGGGGTGTCGTGAAGACTGAGCTGGGAGTGACGTGTGGGTGCAGAGAAAACCGGGTCGTGTTCGTCGCTATAAATCCTAGACGGAGCCAACAGCGAGTGCAGTTGGACTCCCTGGGGACCTCCCGGGAGCACCCCTGGGGCCCAGCCAGCAGGGGTCCTTTTCTGCGGCCCACGTGGGGACGGAGGGTGGAAGCAGAGGCCAGGGCAGAGGCGTGGTGCGAGACACAGAGGAAAGGTCCCAGCTGTGCAGGAGACAGACCTGACCGTGTGTGACCCATGTGAGTCCTCATGGGTCTTTGGGAGAATTTGCTAGGGCACACTGGCGCCCAGCCTGGCAGGTCGTAGGTGCTCAGGGAGAGGCCACCATCCCTCCGCATCCTCATCCTCACCGCCGTGATTCTGAGCGGCACTGCACTGCCACCGCAAGCTGGAAGCGGCCCGTGCGAGAGGGGCGCGTGGAGGTGCAGACACCTGGGACCGTGGTTGTTACGGGGTGGCTACAGACTAGGACAGGTGTGCTTTCCCACGAGGACCTTTGTGAGCAGGTGTCCTCCTGCCTCTGCCCTCGGGATCTCAGAGCCACTGCTCGAGGCTGTGGCCGGCCTGGAGGGGACACCAACCTTGTCCCCTGGGGAGGGCAGGCTCCTGAGCATTGTGGTGGGCAGGGCCTGGTCTCCCCGCGGCTGCCTGAGCCTCCTGGGGGCAGCTGTGCACCTGTCCTGAAGCCCTCCACCTGCCTGGGACCCTGCCTGGGCACCGTGCTCCTGCCTGGCACTCAGGGGCCTCTGAGAGCCCCAGTTCAGGAGCAGCCCAGCAGCCTGCCTGCCCTGAGCATTAGCTCCGGGGCCGAGCGTGAGCGTCTGGGCCTCTGAGGATGGTGCTCTCTGGCTTCCAGTCCTTCTCCTGGGGGTGGCAGGCCTCATCCACCAGCCCGGTTCCTCCTGCCCGTGACTGCTGTCCCTGGCAGTTCCCACTGTACTTTGTGGCTCAGGACTGAGAGAAGGGACCCTGCAGGGAGACACCCAGCTGGAGACAGCTGCCACTGCCAAGCTGTGTGACCCGTGTGTGGAGCCCCTGCCCCACACCGCTTCCTCACTGCAGGTGCCAGGGCGTGGGTGCCCCGGGCCGTCCCAGGCCATGTGGGCTGACAGGTGGAGGTCCCTGCAAGGCCAGGCTGTGCTGGCCACACGGCTGCAGGACCTGCCCGCCAGCTCCACCGCTTCGGCCGTGTCCTCATCGCAAGCTGCGCCCGGCCCACCACCCGCAGGAGCCCAGCTGCCTGCAAACCTGCCGCATGGCGCACGCGTGTGGGTGCATCCTCGCCTCTGCCACGCTTGCCGTGTGGCCACAACTGCGGCTGCGTCCTGTTTCGCTTCCCGGGGCTGCCCCGAGGCCGATCGTGCATGCAGGAGCCCTCTGTGTCTCTCTGTGCCTGTGTTTCCGTCCTGATGATGGTTGTGTTGCTGTCCCAGTGATGTGGTCTTGTTTTCCAGTGTGGCTGGAAGCAGCTGCTAGGACCGGGCTGCAGGTTGGACCTGTCCCGGCCAAGCCTTGCTGTCTGCCCTGCCCGCCTGCAGGCTCTACGCTGTTTTCCAGGGCTCTTTCCAGCCTCCCCTTGTGGTCCCCAGCATGGGTCCCCGGCTCTAGACCCGCTGCACTGGCCTGTGACTGTGTGGAGCATTGGCACAGCCGGCCCTGCCCCCTACCCCTGGGCCGCCCCTCTGTAGCGAGCCGAGGAACATAGGACTGTGACACTCAACACAGCGGGCACTCAATAAATGTTGGTTGAATTGAGATGCGTTAAATTCAACGGGTATTATTGAGCACCCACCCTGTGCCAGACACTGAGTGGGGTCCCCAGGGGGAGGCAGAGAAGCAAGAGCAGCCTCCAGCTGGAGCCACCTGCCAGGAGCCGCATGCGGGGAGCTGGGGAGGCACACATGCTGCCTGCCGCCTGGGTGCCTGGTGGCTCATGGGGCCCAGTCACAGTGTCATCCCACCGTGACACCGTCAACATCTCCTGCTGGGGGCAAGCTCATCCTGCAGCCCCTCATCCATCCCCGAGCCCTGCTGAGCACCTACTACATGCTGGGCTTGGTTCTGGGTAGCACAGAGATAGTAGTGAATAACTACCCACTGTGACAACCCTGTCCCCTAGGGCATTCTCAGCCTCTGTGAAGAAACGTGCATTTACTGCAGGCGGCTTCCTTTTCCTGTCGTGTGTCTAGGACTGGGCCACGGGCAGTAATCTGGTTTACGGGTGCACATATTTGGGACCTGCTTGCCCTAGTTCTGAAGAAGGCCCTGTAGGATGAGCGCGGTACCTGGGAGGAATGCAGGTGGCCTGTCCCCTGCCCTGGCCCAGGCCCTGGAGACAGCTTGCCGCTGCTCTTGCCGGCCCTGTGTTCTCTCCCGAGGCCCTGACACACAGGTGCATCACATGCTGCCCCGGGGACTCAGAGGCCCCTAAATGAGCCCTGACACTTGCAAAGCGAATAAGCCCCCTCCCCAACCCAGCACGGGGCCTGAGGGGGCGGAGCTTGGAGATGATGGATGGAAGCTAATCAGCAACAGAGGCCCCAACCTGCCTGTCGCTTTGGCATTCTGTGTCCGCTTGTGTGTCCCCTCCACCGCAAGGCCCCTGTGGAGTCCTGTACGTGTCTTTTCTGGTTACTGTCCCCACAGCCCCCTGTGGGGAGGGATGGGAGACGCAGGGTCCAGTGCTGCCGCAGAGCCGTGTTGTTTTGGGGGCCGCGGGGGAAGAGGGTGGACGGGCTGTCCTCCTCCCGTGTCCAACAGGGTTCCAAGTGGCACCGCCCTCGCATCTCCTAGTCCTGGGCTCCTGCTTGGCCACAGGCGTATCAGGCAGGATCAGCACAGTCTGGTCGAGGGGCTGCTGCGGAGACCCCATGGGGGAGAGTCGCAGGCCTCAGGTCAGAGGACGAGCGGCATTGTTTCCTCATTTTACAGCAGGCAAAATGGAGCCGAGGGGAGGGAGGCACAGCCCGGGCACCCAGCGCGTCTTTTGTGAGCACTTTGTTCTGAGCAGAGGCCAAAACAGGCCCAAGTCCTGCAGGTCCTGTGGAGAGGTAGCCCAGTGCAGGAGGGCAGACTGAGGGCGGTGTAAGCGGTGCCGACCAGGCGGGCACGGGGCGGGCAGTGAGCTCACATACAGAGCGGCACGGCGGGAGGCCTGGCTGGCAGACCCAGGGCAGAGCCCGACTGTGCTTGCCGGGAGAGGGCGGAGGTGGGGCTGGTGGGGAGGAACCGCCCCGGCCTGGTGACCCGGTCCCAGAGGATCATGGTCCAGCCCGGAGGGCTCTGGCAGGCCTCACAGGCGTTTCCAGGCTGGGGGTGGGCAAGAAGGGAGCGGGACGCAGTACAGGATGGCTACCGGGGACAGCCAAGGTGGGAGACAGGAGAGGTACTGCAGGCGCGCATTGGGAGCCAGCAGGGACAGGTCGGGAGGTCTCGTGTGGTACAGGAAGTGGATGGGCACCGCGGGCTGCCAGTGGGAGGTGGTGCCCACCTTCGGGTTTAGCTCACAGACACCCGCTTGGCAGAGGGCGAGCAGAGGCATTTGTGGCCGTGTGGTGAGCAGCGGGAGCCCTGTATGAGGCGGGAGCCTCGGAGGGGCCGCAGGTGGCAGAATCAGAAGACCCTGGGCTGCGCTTTGCAGCCGGGGTGGGCCGAGGAGCCTTTGTTCAGAGGTGGGTGGACAGGCAGGTCTCCCTTGTTGGCTTGGGGAATCCGAGCCATCCCGACAGAGCTGGAGCTCTGGCATCGCTCGGAGCTCAGAGCAGGGTTCTGGGCCAGAGGCAGAGGCCTGGGGTGCCCAGCTCTCGCCAGCTAGAGCCTGTGGCCCCTGGGTATCACCCATTGTCCTCAGTGCAAGCACATGCTGTGTGTGAGCTTGAGCCACCTGGACAGAACTGCAGTGACTCTCACCCCACTCCCAGCTCCCTCTGCGTCAGCTCTTCCGTGGGGACCAAGTGCGGGTGGGAGGGACGGGGATGCAGTAGGCAGTGGGGGAGAGGCACCAGGCTGGAGGAAGCATCAGGGGTGGGGCTGAAGACTCCAAAATGGGGACCCCAGCCATGCCCTGTGTGGGGAAGGCAAGGAGGAGCGGCCACGGAGGGCCCCCAGGCATCAGCAGCAACTGGGGGTCCCGTGGGGTGCAAATATTTGGTCAGGGAATGGCCAGCTTGGTCTTTCTGGAAAGACCCGTGTCCACCTGGGGAGACCAGATGCTCTCTACCCCTGCTCACCCCCGAGCCCCCAAGGGCAGTGAGAGCTGCAGGGGTGGAGGACCTGGCCCAGGAGTGGACTTGCAGGAGCCCCAGGGAGCAGCGGTGTCATTCAGGGGGCTACCGCAGCCTCTTCCAACCTCCCCATGCCTCCGTGTCCAGCAGACTCACCAGGGCGGGCCTGGGCGGGGCAGTGCATGCCTGCTTGGGTGTCACTATGGACTGTTACCTCAGCCCCCCAGGCTCCTGTGTCCCCCTCACTCCGCCAGGAGTCTGCAGGTCACCATCGCTATGGGAAGCTCCGTCTCTGCCTGGAGTGCTGTGTTCGTGGGAGAAGGCACAGCCCAGGAGCTGTCACGGGGCTCGGGAAAGCAGCCGCCAGCATGGAGAGTCCATTGTGTGTGATGGGGGTGCACGAGGGACCGCACCCTGCACCCCAGAAGCCAGACACGTGTGCGGGAGAAAACGGAAGTCACAGACAGAGCACTCCAGGCTCCTGGTGGCGTGGGGACGTGCACGTGGCTGCCATGCTATGGGGCTGCAGGCATGTCCAGGAGGCCATGTGAGGGGCCGGCGGGGTGCTAGGGTTGAATCTCAGCTGGTCACTTCCTAAGTGGCCTTGGGCACAAGACAGAGCTCTCTGGGCTTGGACGACCCTGGTGTAAGAACAGGGCTGGTGCAGCCCTGGCAGGGAGGCACACGGCATCCTACGTCCAGGCCCTCAGGAGGCGTCAGGCAGGGCATGCTCAGGTCCACCCCAGGCAGCGTCCAGGCTTGGTGGCCGGCTGGGGACCGCCACAGCTGCTTCCAAAGCCTGAGGCTCTGACGGTTCCAGGGCTCTCTTGTCCTCTGTCACTTGGGACTTGTGGGGATTCCACCGCCTCCCCCTCAGATGGGGATACCAAGGCTCGGGGAGGAACCAGACCCGCACAGTCCGTGAGCTGCAGCCACACACTGACAGCAGTCTGCCTGGGGAGCGGCTTGCTGGCCAGCTGTCCACAGGCTGCTGTGGTGAGCCACCTGCCTGTGCTGCTCAGGACACCCTGCACCCACCCAGGAGGGCTGCACCTTGCACATCAGCTGCTCTGACCTCGAGAGCAGCTGAAGGAGGACAGACCAAGGGCAGTCTGCAGGTGCTGAAGCGAGGGGCGGGGCAAGCTTCAACCGGAAGTGCAGGGGAATGCTTAGGCCAGCCTGGTGTGGGCTCAGGGTCCGGGCTCTCGGGGTCTAAGGTGACCTGGGATCTTGATCACCCAGCTACAAGGTGGCAGTTCATCACTCAGGCAGGTTTTAGACCATCTACCTGCAACCCCACAGGACAGAGCTACTGGGAGCAGGTGGGGAGACTGGCTCGTAAAGCCAGAAGCCCTGGGCACTCGCTAGTTGTTTGACTGTGGGTCACTTGATCCCATTAGGCCTCTGCTTCCTAGTCTGTAAAATGGGCTCCTCTTCAGAGCATAGGCAGTGAGAACGGAATGGCATTGCTGGATGCATGAAGAGACATTCCACAATGGTGGTTCTCGCTCTGAATGCAAGGGGAGACTCCAGGGCCTTACGATTCTACCAGTGTCTGGTCCCTCCCCAGGACAGACCAGGCATAGACAGCAACTGAGATGCGAGGTCCCCTGGACACCGTTCTCCCTGCCCTCTGCACTGAGCACAGGCAGAAGAACCTGGAAATAACCTAGCAGATGCCACAGGGTGAGAAGAGGAGGACGGGCTGATGTCTCCCTCCCCACCACGTGGCAGACCCTGAGCAGCAGGACAAGGAGCAGGAGCTGGTCTCCGTCTGTGGCTGGGTCTCCCGTCCCCGGCATTGGTGTGTCCACTGCGGCCAGCTCCAACAGGGACGGACAGGAGCATGGCACCAGGGGAGCTCAGCAGAGCAGAGAAGCACCCCAACAAGCATTCTGAAGACGGAATGTCACCGGGGCCCACGTGCGGACCCTAGACAGGTGCCGGTCTGCTAGCCTGAGACCGAGCCTCCTCATGGAGTACCCAGACAGCCAGGATTCAGAAGAAAGATTACTCAACACGGCACAAATCATGAAAAAAAAGAACAGATAATACCACAGAAAAGAGTGAGGTGCTGGAATTCCTTGGTGAGGATTTTAAGACGTCTACCATAAAAATGCTTCCACAAGCACTTATAAATCATTTTGGAGCAAATGAAAGCACGAAAAAAGTCCCACCAAAGAAATAGACATTATTTTAAGTCCAGTGGAAGCTATAGAACTGTAAAATAAAGTAACCGTAATTAAAAATCTACTGCGTGGGTTCAAAAGGAGACAACCAAATACAAGAAAAGAGAATCAGTGTCTGCAGATACAACAACGAAAGCCGTCGAAGGTGAACCATAGAGAAAGGACAAAACAAACAGCACTCTGGGGACCTCAGGGACAAGGTTTGAATCACTGGATTCCCAGAAGGAGAGGAGAGAGAATGGGATTGAAAAAGGGTGAGAGAAATGTGGTGACACAACACTGTGATCCCAGCACCTGGGAGGCTGAGGCAGGAGAATTGCAAGTTGGAGTCAATTTAGCAAGACCCTATCTAAAAATAATAGCAGAAGAAGGGCTGAAGATGTAGATCAGGGATAGAGCACCCCTGGTTTTGATTCCCAGTGTTTGCAAATCTATATCTGTATCTGTTTGTATATATTGAGAGAAGCGATGGCTGAAAACTCACCACGTTTTGCTAAAGGCACAAATCCACAAATTCAAGAAACTGAACAAATGTCAAAGAAATCCACACCAAGACACATCATGATTAAATTCCTGAAAATTAAGGACTCAGAAAAACCCGCAAAAGTAAGCACCCCCATCATGAAAACACGGGAAACACCCAGCTGAATGACTGGAGATTTCGTAGCTGGAGCTATGGCAACCAGGAAGCTGTGTGTCTCTCACGGGCTGAACAGAAAGAATTGTCAGTGTGAATCTATGGTCAGTGAAAATAGCCACCAGGATGGATGAGAAATAAAGACTTTCTCAGACAATAGGGAGCTGCGAGGATGTGCCTGACCAGAGCTTAGCGGGTAGATAAGATGTTCTCCAGTGATAACGGGAGAGAACTTGGCCCTTCAGGACGGAAAGGATGTCAGAATGGGTGAGCCTGGGGCTGCATCGGATGGTCTTCTTTTCCTCCAGTCTCTTTGATCGTATCTGATGGTTGAGGCAAATATGTTACACTTTCTGAGGCAGCTGCCCCGAGCAGGTAGAAGAGAGCCCTACTTGCAGGGAGGCCGTAGGACGTGGGAAGTGGCTTGAGGGAAGTCGAGTTTCTGCATCGCCTGGGTGCGGTTGAATGTTGGACCGTGGACAGCAGCCCCGGCGCTGGGAAGCTTCTCTCCCACCCAGGAGCCTGTGGTGTGTGTCCAGGTCACTGGCTCGAGGTGAGGCATGGGTTCGATGAGGGCACTGGCTGGTCTTAGAGGTCAGTGGTGTCCAGATGCTGCTGTCCAGCCGAGCATCCCGGAGGACAGTGTAAAATCTTGGACACTGGGCCAGAGTCCCAGACCCAGAATTGCGACTCGGTAGGTCTGTGATGGGGCTGAGAATTTGTTTCTGGTGAGGGAACTCCCCCAGTTCCCTGGTGAGGTGAATGGTGCTAGTTGGGGACCCACTTTGAGAACCACACGCGGTTCTCATGCTGGTGTCTTCGGCTCGCAGCAGCTCGCGTCTCAGCTAAACAGTCCTCGAGGCTGCCAGGGTGCACCCGGTTCTCGGGGTGAAGCAGGTGTTTCTGTACCTACCTGTCTCTGGGCCCCTCATCTGGAGGGACCTCAGAGAGGCTGGGGCAGGAGGAGCAGCCCAGCAGCCCGGCCCCATGCCCCTCACCCATCACGGTTGTATACCATAGCTCACCTAAGACTGCATGGGACGAGGGGCTTCCTCTGCTATGAGAAGCTGGACGACCTCAGCCTTGCTGTTGTAAGAGGCCTCTGCTGACCTATATCCAGCACCTTCCCACGGGCCACCCTGTGGCATGGGAGTCCCCAGGGCAGTTCCCCGGCTGAACCATCCCCAACCGGCTCCCTGTGGCCACTGCAGTCTCTTTCCTGTCCGCATCGGGTTGCCAAGGAGCCCAGGTGAAAAGCACCGGACCCGTAGCCGTGCTCGGAAGCTCCTGGGCGGGCGGTTGGGCGGCGCTGTGCATCCCAGTCCTCTGTGTACACATGGCCTTGTCAGCACTAAGGGCAGTGACCCGCCACCCCCTGCCGCCCTCCCAGGGCAGCCCGGGGATCCCGAAGCGAATGATTGGTCGTCTTGTGGTGTATGGTTGGTCTTCAGTGCCGGGTACCAGCTAGGGACGCCTGGATGAGGCAGATGTGGTCCCCCGCTCTCAGGGCCCGCAGGTGGGTGGAAACAGTTCGGGGCCTGAGGCAGGCCTGTGAAGGGTGCTCCTGGTGTAGGGTTGCCACCCCATGGGGTACAGGGGCTGCTCTCCAGGGCTGCCCTCTGCTCCACCTGCGATGACAATGACATTGAACTAGGAGGTCTCAGCCCCCCACCAGGTCCACCCAGGTCCAGCCCCTCCTGATGGCACCAGCCAGCCCATGCTGCTGCTCGGGAGCTCAGGGGCTCAGGGGCTCAGACCAGCCCTTTGCATACCGAGCAAAACTGGCAATTTGGATTTTAATGTCAAAATCCCCTCAAGCAAGGAACTCTGGGGATATTTTTTAGAGAGTAAAATTGTCAGCCAGACCTGGTGGTGCATGCCTGTATTCCCAACTACTTGGGAGGCTGAGGCAGGATGACTGCTTAAGTGCACAAATTCAAGACCAGCCTGGGCAACAGTAAGAATCTGTCTCAAAAAAAGGCAAGAAGGAAGTGAGAGAGGGAGGGAGGGAGGACGAAGATCTCCAGGTCCCATTTGGCTGGGGCGGCCTGCCTTTGCCGCCCCTGGCACTGGACGGCATAGCCCTACTGCCCTCCGTGTGCCAAGATCCATCCCCGTCCCCATCTGGAGAGCAAGGGGCCGGCCTGGGTGATGGATGAGGCCGAGGTCCCGGCCTGTCATGAGCTGTAACCCTCAGGTTGTGGGTAGGCTTGGGTGGCACCCTGCCCTGGCTCCTTGGTGCGCACCCTGGGGAGGGCCCAGCTGAGGCAGGAATGACCCTCAGGGCCCTCCCATGTGCTGTCTCCTTTGCAGCCGTGTCTCTCCACCAGGCGGCCAGCCACGTGCCCTCTCTCCAGGGTGCTGAGCGCATGTGACCAGGCTGTGCTGTGTCTGTTTCAGGCCTCCCCTATTCCAAGTCCGATTCTCCCCCAGGACCTGGAAAGAACGGCTTGGACTACCGGGTAGGTACCCACCCTCTGCGGCCGCGCGCTACTAACCAGCAGCTCTGCCAACCCAGACCCATCCTGCAGCTTCCTGACCACGCAGCCGGGAGGAGAGGCTGGGCCCCCGCTTGCCCGCCGGCCCCCACCTGATGCTCCGTCCAGGGCTGCCGCCACCGTGCTTTTTCCATAGCAGGAGCAGACCAGACTGGCCGGCCCCTGTGCCCTCTCCGCCTGCCTGGGAGCCAGGGAGGCCTCAGTGTGGGGGTGGGGAGGCGGGGCCACCGGAGAGACCAGCTCCAGCTTCAGGAAGATGCCTGGAGCCACTGCCTGCTGCTGTAGGTGGAGCTCAGGGAGGCCCGGAGAGGACAGTTGTGCTTCTGAGGTGGCAGGAGCTCATGTCGCTGCCTGGCTGCGGTGCCATTAGTAGGATCGCATGACTGCAGGGGTGCACCCTGAGCTCTGGACACCGGGCGCGGCTTGGCTCTCCCTTCCCTGCTCCCAGCCGCAGGCCAGGCTGACTCCATTTCAAGCCCTGGCTCGAGCCCTGGTGTGAGCCCCGGTTCAAGCCCCGGTTCAAGCCCCGGTTCAGTCACCTCTGTGGGAGCAGCTCACTGCTGTCCTGGGTCTGCAGGGAGGATGCCCGGGGTGGAGAGGGTCTGATGGTGCCAGAACCACCTCCTGCCGTGTGACCAAGAGGGCCCCCGTCACCAGGGCAGTCTCCCCTAAGGAGAGGCCACTGTGACACTGAGACCCGTTTCCTGCCGAGAAGCAGCTGTGACAGTGAACGTGCAGCCTGGGGGTGCCCTGCCCCTGTCCTGAGGACAGGAACCCCACCTCCCAGTGACACAAGTGACCTCTGGGGCCAGCCCTGTGCTTCTCCATCTTCACCTGCTGCTGGGTTTTGGTGGCAGGCCTGCCTCCGGGACCCTGTAACCCTCTGCATTGTTGGACTCTAGTGGATCCTGGTCCCAGCCCTTCCCGCTAACCACACTTCCTTTCCGGGATGGGGTAACCTTGCACGGGGCTCCGAATCTCCTCCAAAGGACTGCTCCCCACTTCATCTTCCACAGGGAAGTCAGGGGACAGGAAACCAGGGCCCAGGACCCCTGCGCCAGGAGGATACAAGTCCCTTGCCCAATGTCAGGGCCTGCGGCACTAGGGAAGCTGTCTAGAATGTTCTCTCCTCTCCTGGAGCAGCTGTTCTCTAGCCCTGGGCTGCTGGGCACAGGGCTCCGGTGTGGGTGCAGCCACATTAGGCCCTGGGGGTCGCGTAAGCGAGGGAGGGGCACAGGGAGCGGAACGGGGGCTCCGCTTTCCCAGCCTGGTTCTTCTCTTGGTTCACATAGCAGCGACACCTGCCGAGCTCGAGGTCTCCTGAAACAGCTGAGAACAGCTGGTCCAACATCTGGCAGGACCGTCTTTAGCCTCCCAGGACCAATGAGGGCCAACTCTTAAGCTTTGCGGGACTGGGCACCACCCTACTCTGCTCGGCTTTGGGGTTTTTCCTCTCTAATGCTCTGTCCCTTTCTTGTTGTTGGTGTTCTAAGGCTGTTTTGCACTGTTATGCTGCTCCCCGCAGGGAGTCCACAGCATGACCTCCCCGATGACCCACCTTTTGCAGTGCTGCCGCCCCGCAGTTGGGCGCGGGTCCTCTCCCCGGGCCCCTGGCTGGCTCCTGTCCTTACCGCTGCCGATGGCCTGCGTACTAGGAGCTTTCTTGGTTTCTTTCACTTGCAGAAAGGATGCGAAGGCGGGGGGCAGAAGTAAAAGCACAATGCAGGGAAAGCAAAATCCTGCTAATGTCAAATCGCAACAGGAAGAGAAAGGCTACAGGAGGAAATTGACGTGAAAAACAGAAGGATGACGAGCTTCCTGCCGGCTCTGACACGGGCACAGCTGTGACTGTGCCCGCTAGCGTGGCTCTCGTTGTCTGGCAGTAGAACAGGAAAGGGTCTTCTTCCACGAGGAATGTTTCTGTGTGTGTGTGTGTCTGAGACAGGGTCTCGCCATGCAGTTCAGGCTGGCCTTGGGCTCACTTATGTAGCCCAGGCTGGCCTCGGACTCGAAAGGATCCTCTTGCCTCAGCCCCGCAAGTGGTGGGATTACAGGCGTGCACCACCACGCCCGGCCCAAGAGGAATAGTTTTATAAAGGTCCAAAGCACCAAATGTGTCAAAGGTCATTAAAATGGCCTCGTAACCAAGCCTGGAGGGGAAGATATACACCACTTCCCCAAGACATGGACAGAATAGTAGCTACCTACCACAGGTGTCCCTGGAAGCCGAGAGGGTTCCGACAAGGGCCACGTGGCTACCGGCCACCTGCAGGTCTGTGTGGTCATTCTCTGGAAGACGTTCAATCTTGAGAACATTGATGCTAAGTGTGAACAGACTGATCCTATATTAAAAGGTAGAGGCTGTCCAGTGGGGTTTACAAAATGCCATTGTCAGAGTGAGGCATTACAAGATACACACTTACAGTTATTTTTAAATAATAAGAAAGAGATACTAAAATCATAACTACGAGCCAGGCATGGTGGCACAAGCCTGTAATCCCAGCACTCGGGAGGCTGAAGCAGGAGGATCGTTGTGAGTTCGAGGCCAGCCTGTGCTACCAAGTGAGTTCAAGGCCAGCCTGAACTGCATAGTGAGACGTTCTCAAAAAGACAAAAAAATAAAATAAAATAAAATCACAACTATGAAGAAGCAGGAGTAGCAGTATCAGTGTCAGATAAAATAGAAGCTAAAAGAAACTAATAAAATAATCATGCAAAAAGGGAACCCTAACTCATACTCACAACCCGGTGTAATAAAGAAAGTATGGCATTTATAAACTGAACTGCACCAAGCAACACAATCAGGCCAGGCATCTTGAAAAGATACAAGGTAGCTGATTTGAATACAGCTCTCTTAAAATAAGATATGGATCTAGTGAACAAAAAAAATTACAGTACATTGAATAATTAAATAGTACAAACAACAAGCCTAATCTAATAGGTCTATGGGAAAATATACAGCTTTTGAATCCAGGTTTCACATATTCATAGAACATTTATGAAATATGTACAAACATACATGACTTGCTAAAACAAAATTATGTTTGTGTATAGTTTGTGCAAACAATATCTTAACAAATTAAATAAGCCTGAGGTTTCCAAACTGTAACGCTAGAAAGATCATAAACCTATATGACTTGGAACCAGATGGCCCGGAGTTCCAATCCCTGGTGTCTTTGAACAAGTTAAATTTTCTGAGTCTTTATTTCCTAAAATTAAAAAGAAAATCCTTACCTCTTAAAGTTATGATGGAGATAAATACCACCCGGTTGTGAAATATTGTTCTGTATTCCATAACCTGGTTCCCACGTGAGCCATTATTTGAAAGGAAGTCCCCACCCGCTTTGCCGTCCGTGGCCGCTGTGAGGAGACGCAGCTCCGGCGTAGCTATGGCAGTCCGTAGCGATCTCAGGATAACTTTTGGAAAGTGAAACGCATAGCCTCCCATCTCTCCAGTCCCACATATTTGTTGTGTGACCTTGGCAAGGACCTTTAACTTCCCTGAGCCTCGTCTGTTAGAGTAAGTGATGGTGCTCCCTCCCAAAGTGACAGTGAGATTCGAGACTGAGGAGTCCTGACACCTCCCTGCCAAAGGGAAATAAGTAATTCATTGCCTTCAGAATCCCCAGGGCCTCCACCACGTGTTCCAGGTAAGGCAGTAACCCAGGACTCTCTGGCACTGAGGTCTTGCAGAGCGGGCCCTCTGCACCTAGGAGACGGGACGAGCCTCCCTGGGCCAGCTGTGGACCCATGTGACACTCCCAGAGTCCCTGTGTCCTCAGAGCGTACAAGAACAGAGGAGGCTGGCTTTGGGGTTAAGTGGGTCCCGATCTGTTGTGGGGGCGGCTGTGATGCAGGGCATGGGCGTTAGGTGTCAGCATTTCCCTTTCGCAGGAGGTCGCAGGCCAGCTCCTTGCTGGGTGGAGATTGGAGGGTCTCAAGACCCTGCTCTTGTGAACTCCTACAGGAAAGTGGTGACGGTGAGAGACGGGGATCAGGGCTAGGACAAGCGTGAGGTGCTGTTCTCGAGCTACATGATATTGGCGTGTGGTACTTCAGAAATCCAAATTAATGCAGGAAAACACAATTTAAATAAAGACCCATTCCAGCCCTCCGCTGACACGCTTACCGCCTCGGCAGCCTGGGCCCAGCAGGAAGAAGGGCCTGGCTTCTTTTTAGGCCTCGGTTTCCCGATGGCAGATGAAGAGCTTTGGACGTGGAGTCCTTCCCCGCTCCAACCCGCTAGGGTAGCAGTGGCGAACCCTTCAGAGCTTTCGATGATAACAGCCAGCGGCAGCACGCATGCCGTAGGTTCGCCACCATGGCTCTAGGGCCCCAGCCAGCGCCTCGATCCCCGACTAGCTCAGCGCGTTCCCACGGGAGGCAGCTGTCCCTGTGATGGAACCCAAGGCCCTGGGCCATCCCTGCTGAGCTCTGCTGAAATGTCATCCCTGTGCTCGGTTTCACAAGCACTGGCCACCAGCCCTGACCTCATTTCAGCCCCTGTGCTGGATGTGGAGATCAGGTGGAAATAAGGCATTTTCTTCTGGGGGCTCAGCCGCTGCAGGTGTGTACAGCCGTGCACAGCGCAGCCATCAGCGTAAACACCCAGCGCAGGGGGCAGGAGCAGGAGAGGGACGGGTGAGCCCCTGTGGGGTCCAGCACATGCCCACAGTGCTGGGGACCCTGCAGGGAGGTGTGTGGGCTTGTAGGTGACTGCTTCCGGTGGGCAGAGGGCACAGGAAACTCTGGACATGAATGTATGGTGCAGTAATGTGGCAGTTTGCTGGTGGGTGCTACGGTCAGGGGAGGGAGACGCCCGAGGGCTGGCACGGGCTGTTGCCTCTGAACCCCTAGGAGTGTCACTCCCTTGGGTTACTGTCAGAATCAGGGCCACTCTGCAGGGGCTGCTGATGACCACCCTGGATCTGTGTCTTTCGTCCTCGGACAGGCAGGGCTCCTCTCCTTTTGGAGCCTCAGCTGGGTGGGCTTCGGCTCATAGCCCCCGGCACCAGAGCAGCTGGACTCTGGGCTCCAGGAACGGAGGAGAGATGGGCACAGCCCCAGCAGGCAGAGCCAGAACACCCCCTTTGCTGTCTTCTGGGGCACATGGGCACGGGGTGGATCGCAGAGCACTGGGCACAGTGGGTGTGACAGGAGCAGCAGAACCGCAGGGCTCCCCAGCAAGGAGCCAGTGCCCAGCCGTCCGTGGAGGTCCCCGCCAGCTCCACAGCAGGCCAGGGCCCCTGGGCCCGGGGTCATCTTTAAGGTGGGTCAGAGCCCACCCAACAGGCAGGGGCGGCGGAGGCCCCGGGCCCGTGTGCACTGGCAGGCCCGAGGGGCTGGCGTCCTGAACTCTGCTTTTCAGAGCTGAGTGCTGGCGTCCTCCGGTGGTCACCCCGCCATCGGGCTGTGGCAGGCAGGCTCCTCCCAGCTGTGCAAAGCCTGGGCCCTGCGTCTGTCCCGTGCAGCCTGCCTCTTGCCGCCTCTCTCTCTTTCTCTTCCAGAATGCCAATATGGCCCCTTTCGGAGCAGAGCCAGATGCCGGCTGGGGCACGCGAGGTACACACCGCGGGGACCCCCGCGGGCCTCTGGCTGGGCAGGGGGTTGTTGACCTATTTCTACCAGTCTCCTTCTGGTACTGCCCCCCGGGGTCTGCTGGCAGAAGGCTCTGGGCACCGTGGGTGAGGGGACCCAGGGAGGACGTGTTTACCACCAGCCCTGGGTTGCCCATCCCAGGTACAGGGCTGCCTAGCTTGTGGGGCGCTCTGCACACTTGGGGAAACAGTCCTAGCGGGAGTGCCTGAGTGACACAGCAGGGTCATGCCCGCCTCGCCCTGGCTCCCTGTGTGTCTGCCGGCTTGCGGGGACCCTGGGCTCAAACCAGGAAGCTGGCAGGAGGTGGCTTACTGGTCTTGCGGCAGGTGCTGCTTGGGGCCACCCTCCGGCTCTGCGTGGGGTCCCAGGCCTGGCTGCTTGCCCCCTTCCACCCTCTGGGGTTGGCTGGGGCTGGGTCCCACGTGGGCGGCAGCATGGGGGGCGGGTCCCAGCATCCTGTAAGTGATTGTCCAGGTGCCTGGGCCTCCAGCCAGGCAACCAGACCCCAGGCAACCAGTGGCATGTGGGGAACTCCAGCACCTGCCCCACCCCACAGGTCTCCTGCCTTACCATGGGTCCTGCATGCCTGGGGGTGCCTCCTAGCCACCTGGTTTTATGTTCAGTGGGGAAGAAAGGCATTTCCAGGGCTGAGGTGTAGTTCAGGGGCGAGCCTTTGCCTAACATACACAAGGCCCGGATTCCACCCTCAGCACTGCAAAAGAAAGAAAAGTAAAGCCAGAGCGCAGAGCTCAGCCGTTTAACAGGAGGAAGCGGGAAGGAGGGAAGGCTGTAAGAGGCTGGGGTGGAGTCAGACCGGGTGACGTCAGTCTCCACAGCACCCCGTAAAGCTTTGCCCTCAGATGCCCACTAAACAAAGAGGTAAACAGAGGCAGCTCTCTTGGGGCGGCCCGGACCACCAGGAGAGCTGGTGTCACAGCTTCCAATCTGGCCTCAGCCCCCTGACCATGCCTCCTGCTCAGTGTGCCTTGGGAAGAGCCCCAGAACCCCTCCACTGTGGCCCCCGGGCCAGAGCCCCACACATGCTGCTCAGGGGACTGGGAGATGTGCATGGCTGAGCTGACTGCGGGGTCCGGGGTGTCCCCCAGGCCAGGCTTGCTTCCCTAAATCCCCACCCCCTGGTTTCCGCTTTTCTCTTACAGAGTACAAGGTAAGAGGGTGCCGCCCATGCTGACCTCTTCCCACCGCCACGCTGCTCCCGCCAGGTTAAAAGTTCCTTTTCGTTTGCTCTCCCTGTGGAATGTGTATGTATCTCGGTTTGCCGCTGGCTCGGCTCTGGGGCCCCGCGCGCGCCTGCTTCTCTGGGTGAACCTGTGGTTTCCACCCCCAGATCTACCCTTACGACTCCCTCATCGTGACAAACCGCATCCGCGTGAAGCTGCCCAAAGACGTGGACAGGACAAGGCTGGAGGTGAGGGGGCGCCGGGAGGCTCGTTTCTGCTGGGCAGAGGCCTCCAGCATGGGACAGTGACAAGGCACCAGGCGGGGCTCAGGGTCCAGGCCACGCCGCTTCACAGGCCCAACCCCGCGGGCTGGACAGGGCCCGGTGCCAGGCCCGCAGGAAGGCTCTCTAGTGGCAGCGAGCCCCACAGGTGTCAGGTGCCAGGCGCTGGCACTGAGTGCCCGGCCCGGGTGGCAGGCTCTGTGGCCACTCGGTGCTTCCTGTGGGCCATGCTCATGTAGTCTAGAATAACAAGCTCGGTGGAAAGCAGGTGTGGCTTAGAAGTTCCAGCAAGAGGCCACCCCGAGTGGTGTGGGATAATATTGTTGGCGGGAGGAACTTTATTGAGCACCTACTGTGTGCTGAGACTCCAAGGACCCCAGGCGACACCCCCGATCCCCATAGCCAACCTCCGAGGATGTGACCTCAGCCAGTGGCATCACATCCCCAATCCCTTTCCTGAACATGGCACTGCTCCCCCAGGGCTCTTTTGCAGGGACAAGGGGTCTCCAGGTTCCAGGGCAGAGTCCGCAGGCCCATCTGTGTCCCCAGGCTGGAGCATGGGAGGCAGAGGAAGTTACGTGTGGCACCAAGGCCAACGAGGGCCCCAGCAGCACCCTGGGCTCAGGACACTGACTGAGCAGAGACGGGGTGGGTCTGCCAAGGGTGGCATCCGTGGGGGGCAGCAAGAGCTGGCAGGGCCCTGTGTGCGGGCATGGGGACCCCATGGGGAGTCCTGCAGGGGAAGGGGAGGCCTCTGTAGAAAAGGGGACAGGGTGCTCCGGGCCAGGACTCAGGGAAAGGCTTGGGTGGGGCCATGGGATGCATCCCTGCACAGGAGGGGACCCAGAAGCTGTCACCCAGCAAGCCCTAGGTTTCCTGGACAGCTGGCTGTGCGCCCTCGACCCTTGATTTCCACATCTTTAAGATCTTTTAAGATCTTTAAGATGAGTGTATTGGTCATGAGTAGTGGCCCATGCCTGTCATCCCAGAATTTGCAAGCTGAGGCAGGAGGATCACAAGTTGTTAAGCCCAGCCTGGACAACTTAGTGACTCAGTGAGATCCTGTCTCAAAATAAAAAAACTAAAAGGGCAGAGGGTACAGCTCAGTGCAAAGGCCCTGGGTTCAATCCCCAGTACACAAAAACTAAACAGTACACAGAGAGAGAAGGTGAGGCTTGCTTGAGTCACTGCGCAGGTGTGAGGCCATGTGAAGCCCCTACCCGGGCAGCAGCTGCGAGGACAGTGATGAGGCTGCTGTGGCCGCAGCACGGGGCAGGGACCCGCCTGCTCGACCGTGCTGTCACTGAGAGGGACCCGACCCAGGTGGCTCGAGCACCGCAGGAACTGATAGGGCCGCGCAGTGACGGCAGGCACCCTGTGGTTTGGTCAAGGGCTGGACTGGGTCCCCAGCACTGGTTGCTTTCCTTCCCCCTCTCTGCTGGCCCCATTTGTAGGTGGATTTTTCAAGCTGGGCGTCTGCAGAAAGACCCAGCCGTCCCCCAGCAGGCCTAGCAGAGCCCTCCCTCGGCCTCAGGCTGGGTGATGTGATCGCCCCTAAATCAACCAGTTTGGTCCAGGGAACGTGATGCCCTGGCTGGCCACGTGCCTAGCCTGGTGCTACCAGTGCTGCCCATGCCAGCTGAACTGCAGGGGCCCAGGTGGCTCTGCAGAAACACAGACCTGAGCTGCCACCTTGAATGAGCGAGGGTGCTGAGGGACAAGCAGGAAGAGCCCACGGCGGGCGGGGGGGACAGCACGCACAGCCAGCCCTCCGCCGTGGTGCCCGTCTGCAGCCAGGCCACTCATGTGCCAGGCACCCACTGCGCCAGCACAGCACTGGTAGGGACGAAGCGGGCAGGTAGCAGGACATTCGGACTTTGCCCTGCAGAAGAGGAGAGGCTGTGGGTGCTGCTGGCGCGTCGAGAGGTGTGGGTCACAGTGCAAGGGGCTGGGCAGCAGGGCCGCTAGAAGCTGCTGTGTGGGTCTGGGGTACCTGGCGCCTCTCCCACCCCAAAGGGCCTGCAGTGCCTGTCACGTGGAGAAGTAATGGGGTGCACAGTGCAGCTGCCTAGGCTCCGGTGGCTGCTGGGGGTGGCGTCGTGTCCCCAGCACACTGGGCTGCATGACACAGGTGCTTCCTGAAGCCGGATGGCTCCCTGGTGTTAGGTCGAGAGCGCCTACCTGGTCGCTAGGCCTTGAGAGAAGCCCACGCCATGCTAGCAGCCTGTCAGGACTCGCTGCTGTCCCTGGGGCTGGGTATGCCTTTGGCAACATCTGTTTGCCCGTGTGTGCACATGTATGTATGTGCAGCCTGAGCTGGGATAGAGAAGGAAAGGCGGGAAGCTTCAAGGGGACTGAGCACAAAAGTGAATCCTTTTAAGAAGCCCCCTGCAGCGGGGATGCTGGGCTTGGTCCCTCCAGTCCGGAGAGCGCAACTTCCCAGTCCTCCTCCTGCAGCTCAGCCAAGCCAGGCGGCACTGGACGTGTTCCCGAGCGTCGCGTTCCCCTGTCCCTCTGAGCCTGCAGAGGCAGGGGCCTGGGCTGGGAGGAGGCCTCTCCCAGCAGGAGCCGCCCCCTGATGTCTCTGTGCTGGGGAGGCGCTTTATTTGTATTCTAGACACACTTCGTAACTATTATACAAGTCCAGAGAAGTGCGAAGAACACACAAACCTACGGGACTCCCTCACCAGTCCCAAGGCCTCTAACTCCCAGGCGGGCCAGCCCCCCGAAGTCTCTTCGCCCAAACCCCCAGAGGGCGCAGGATCCTCGTGTGGATAGGCAGGGCTCTCACTTGCCTTCTCCTTTTTAATTTTCTGTGGCAAATCATGGAGTCCGGCCCCAACCTCCAGAGGGCTGAATGGTGGGTCCCGTGTGAGAGGGTTGGAGTGAAGGGCAGTGCTTCTGCTCACACCCCATTGCGTGCCGAGTCCACCGCAAGGCAGGCTGGGAGGCAGAGTTGCCCGGGTGCCCAGGCAGAGGGCGTGGACATGGCAGGCAGCCCTGCAGGGCCCGTACCCAGAAGGACTACAGCATCAAGTGGTCAGAACACGTCACCCACATGCGGTGGCACAGTGCCCAGCTGAGTCTTTTGCTTGTCATGGGGATGGGCAGCAGGCACTGAGTGGGACCCCAGGGTGTCTGTGAGCAGATCCTGGCATGAGCTGTGCCCTCACAGACCCTCAGGAGGTGGGCATCAACCAGCGAATTTTCCAGGTGAGCCTTATAATCATTCACCAGCGTTAGGGCCCCAAAGGAGGGGAACGTGGGCTTGTGAGTGTATGCTTAAATTGAGTGAATGACAACCCAGCACAGTCAGTGTGTGTGCGTGCGTGTGCATGTGTGTGTACACATGTGTTGTGAGCATGGGAAGGGATGGCAGGTAGGAAGAGAATTTTAGGAAGAGCAGACTATGTGTGCACAGGCTCTGGGGCACAAGGACGAGGGCTGTTTGAGGGACCCAAGGAGGCAAAGGTGAGGACAGACTGGGCCCTGCGGGGTTCTGGCTGTGCCAGGCAGGTGGGTTTTAGCCTGAGAACAATGTTGGGGTATGGCTGGTTAGATCTGTGATTTAAAATAGCCCCACAGCAGTATGGTGAAGCTTAGACCCATTGTGAGGGTGCAGGGAGACAGTGCAGGGAAGCCTGGGTCCTCAGGGTGAGAGGTGATGGCCTCGTGGGCATGGGGGGCACAGCTGAGGGCAAGTGGGTAGATTCGGGTGATGCTTGGGAAGTCGAGCCAGCAGGACTTGGAGATGGAGACGGCGTTGGGACATGGGGGGCCCTGGGCAAGCTGGAGGGATGTGGGGGTGGCAGTCACCCCACGTGGCAGAGGCCTCCTGGACTGATGGTGCTGGCTCCCTGGCCTTCGTGCTGTGGCTGCTGGCACTGAGGGTGCTCAGTCTGGCAGCAGGGAAAGTGCTGTGCTGGTGCCCAGTACATCAGTCACCTACACACAAGGCGCAGTGACCCTGCTCCAGAAGAGGATTGGCTGAGCCATGCAGCACCAGTGAGCAGAGAAGCGTCTGGACTCTGGAGCTCCCAGGGAGTCCTGAGATGGCTCCTCTGTCCCTGAGGATTGGATCCCAGTCCCTGGCCCTGGGACATCACGGCCCCGCCATACCTCTCAGGCCCTTTGTGCAGGAAACCGTTGCCCAGGGGCCTGGTGGACCAGGAGCCCCAGCCTGAGGGGCAGGAGCTCCCATGACCCCAGGCAGAGCCAGGGTCCTCTAGTGTGTGGCTACTCCCTGCACCTCTCCCCATGTTCATCAGAGGACACTGTCCTTTGTGCTTGTATTGGTCTCCTGCCATCCAAACGTGGCATCCTGGGGTCAGAGTGAGTGCCTGATCCCGGGTCCTGGTGTGAGTCCAGAGTGCCTGGCTGCGTGACTGTGGGCAGGACGCTTGGCCACCAAGCCGGGCCGCACACCTGTCAAGTGACATCCCTGCACCTGCCCTGTGGGGAGGCTGGAGCATTCATTCGGCTGCTCAGAGATACTCACCGAGCACCTGCCGTGATGAGCACCGGGCCAGAAGGCTGTGTAGTACACAGCTGAGTCATTGCTTCCCTGTCACTCTGTCTTGGTCACCGTCTCATCGCTGGGACACAGTCACACAGTTTAAAGGAGGAGGGGTGGATGTTGGCTCACAATTTCAGCCCATGGCTGGCTGGTGTCAGGGCAGGACGGCCTGGTAGAAGGGGCTGAGTGGAAGGAAGCTATTCACCTCATGGCGAGCAGGAAGCAGAGAGAGAAGGGAGGAGCCAGGGAGGGAGACAGACCCAGTGACAGCTTCGCCCAACCACAAGCCACTTCCTAACCACATCAGCTATAGAGCACCCAATCACCTCCCAAAAGCCCTGCCTCTGAACACATGAGGCTTTGTAGGACATGTGGGTCTGAACTATAACATTCTACCCTAGCCCAGAAAGTCTCGTATACATCTCTCTGTGCAAAATACATTTAGTCCATC